TCTGTCATCGGAAAATCACCTGATTCTTAGTAGGGACTGAGCCTTACACAATCCTGAAGGATAGAATATTTTATTTCAACTTTTAAATATTTTTAGCCCCATCCGCCATTCAGCAGACAAACGGATTTTTTTTTAAAAATCATTAAAAATTTATTTTTTCAAATTTTTATTATTTCTGTCATCGGAAAATCACCTGATTCTTAGTAGGGACTGAGCCTTACACAATCCTGAAGGATAGAATATTTTATTTCAACTTTTAAATATTTTTAGCCCCATCCGCCATTCAGCAGACAAACGGATTTTTTTTTAAAAATCATTAAAAATTATTTTTTCAAATTTTTATTATTTCTGTCATCGGAAAATCACCTGATTCTTAGTAGGGACTGAGCCTTACACAATCCTGAAGGATAGAATATTTTATTTCAACTTTTAAATATTTTTAGCCCCATCCGCCATTCAGCAGACAAACGGATTTTTTTTTAAAAATCATTAAAAATTTATTTTTTCAAATTTTTATTATTTCTGTCATCGGAAAATCACCTGATTCTTAGTAGGGACTGAGCCTTACACAATCCTGAAGGATAGAATATTTTATTTCAACTTTTAAATATTTTTAGCCCCATCCGCCATTCAGCAGACAAACGGATTTTTTTTTAAAAATCATTAAAAATTTATTTTTTCAAATTTTTATTATTTCTGTCATCGGAAAATCACCTGATTCTTAGTAGGGACTGAGCCTTACACAATCCTGAAGGATAGAATATTTTATTTCAACCTTTTAAATATTTTTAGCCCCATCCGCCATTCAGCAGACAAACGGATTTTTTTTTTAAAAATCATTAAAATTTATTTTTTCAAATTTTTATTATTTCTGTCATCGGAAAATCACCTGATTCTTAGTAGGGACTGAGCCTTACACAATCCTGAAGGATAGAATATTTTATTTCAACTTTTAAATATTTTTAGCCCCATCCGCCATTCAGCAGACAAACGGATTTTTTTTTAAAAATCATTAAAAATTATTTTTTCAAATTTTTATTATTTCTGTCATCGGAAAATACCTGATGCTTAGTAGGGACTGAGCCTTACACAATCCTGAAGGATAGAATATTTTATTTCAACTTTTAAATATTTTTAGCCCCATCCGCCATTCAGCAGACAAACGGATTTTTTTTTAAAAATCATTAAAAATTTATTTTTTCAAATTTTTATTATTTCTGTCATCGGAAAATCACCTGATTCTTAGTAGGGACTGAGCCTTACACAATCCTGAAGGATAGAATATTTTATTTCAACTTTTAAATATTTTTAGCCCCATCCGCCATTCAGCAGACAAACGGATTTTTTTAAAAATCATTAAAAATTTATTTTTTCAAATTTTTATTATTTCTGTCATCGGAAAATCACCTGATTCTTAGTAGGGACTGAGCCTTACACAATCCTGAAGGATAGAATATTTTATTTCAACTTTTAAATATTTTTAGCCCCATCCGCCATTCAGCAGACAAACGGATTTTTTTTTAAAAATCATTAAAAACTTATTTTTTCAAATTTTTATTATTTCTGTCATCGGAAAATCACCTGATTCTTAGTAGGGCTGAGCCTTACACAATCCTGAAGGATAGAATATTTTATTTCAACTTTTAAATATTTTTAGCCCCATCCGCCATTCAGCAGACAAACGGATTTTTTTTAAAAATCATTAAAAATTTATTTTTTCAAATTTTTATTATTTCTGTCATCGGAAAATCACCTGATTCTTAGTAGGGACTGAGCCTTACACAATCCTGAAGGATAGAATATTTTATTTCAACTTTTAAATATTTTTAGCCCCATCCGCCATTCAGCAGACAAACGGATTTTTTTTTAAAAATCATTAAAAACTTATTTTTTCAAATTTTTATTATTTCCGTCATCGGAAAATCACCTGATTCTTAGTAGGGACTGAGCCTTACACAATCCTAAAGGATAGAATATTTTATTTCAACTTTTAAATATTTTTAGCCCCATCCGCCATTCAGCAGACAAACGGATTTTTTTTTTAAAATCATTAAAAATTTATTTTTTCAAATTTTTATTATTTCTGTCATCGGAAAATCACCTGATTCTTAGTAGGGACTGAGCCTTGCACAATCCTGAAGGATAGAATATTTTATTTCAACTTTTAAATATTTTTAGCCCCATCCGCCATTCAGCAGACAAACGGATTTTTTTTTTAAAAATCATTAAAAATTTATTTTTTCAAATTTTTATTACTTCTGTCATCGGAAAATCACCTGATTCTTAGTAGGGACTGAGCCTTACACAATCCTGAAGGATAGAATATTTTATTTCAACTTTTAAATATTTTTAGCCCCATCCGCCATTCAGCAGACAAACGGATTTTTTTTTAAAAATCATTAAAAATTTATTTTTTCAAATTTTTATTATTTCTGTCATCGGAAAATCACCTGATTCTTAGTAGGGTCTGAGCCTTACACAATCCTGAAGGATAGAATATTTTATTTCAACTTTTAAATATTTTTAGCCCCATCCGCCATTCAGCAGACAAACGGATTTTTTTTTAAAAATCATTAAAAACTTATTTTTTCAAATTTTTATTATTTCTGTCATCGGAAAATCACCTGATGCTTAGTAGGGACTGAGCCTTACACAATCCTGAAGGATAGAATATTTTATTTCAACTTTTAAATATTTTTAGCCCCATCCGCCATTCAGCAGACAAACGGATTTTTTTTTAAAAATCATTAAAAATTTATTTTTTCAAATTTTTATTATTTCTGTCATCGGAAAATCACCTGATTCTTAGTAGGGACTGAGCCTAACACAATCCTGAAGGATAGAATATTTTATTTCAACTTTTAAATATTTTTAGCCCCATCCGCCATTCAGCAGACAAACGGATTTTTTTTTAAAAATCATTAAAAACTTATTTTTTCAAATTTTTATTATTTCTGTCATCGGAAAATCACCTGATTCTTAGTAGGGACTGAGCCTAACACAATCCTGAAGGATAGAATATTTTATTTCAACTTTTAAATATTTTTAGCCCCATCCGCCATTCAGCAGACAAACGGATTTTTTTTTAAAAATCATTAAAAATTTATTTTTTCAAATTTTTATTATTTCTGTCATCGGAAAATCACCTGATTCTTAGTAGGGACTGAGCCTAACACAATCCTGAAGGATAGAATATTTTATTTCAACTTTTAAATATTTTTAGCCCCATCCGCCATTCAGCAGACAAACGGATTTTTTTTTAAAAATCATTAAAAACTTATTTTTTCAAATTTTTATTATTTCTGTCATCGGAAAATTACCTGATGCTTAGTAGGGACTGAGCCTTACACAATCCTGAAGGATAGAATATTTTATTTCAACTTTTAAATATTTTTAGCCCCATCCGCCATTCAGCAGACAAACGGATTTTTTTTTTAAAAATCATTAAAAATTTATTTTTTCAAATTTTTATTATTTCTGTCATCGGAAAATCACCTGATTCTTAGTAGGGACTGAGCCTAACACAATCCTGAAGGATAGAATATTTTATTTCAACTTTTAAATATTTTTAGCCCCATCCGCCATTCAGCAGACAAACGGATTTTTTTTTAAAAATCATTAAAAACTTATTTTTTCAAATTTTTATTATTTCTGTCATCGGAAAATTACCTGATGCTTAGTAGGGACTGAGCCTTACACAATCCTGAAGGATAGAATATTTTATTTCAACTTTTAAATATTTTTAGCCCCATCCGCCATTCAGCAGACAAACGGATTTTTTTTTAAAAATCATTAAAAATTTATTTTTTCAAATTTTTATTATTTCTGTCATCGGAAAATCACCTGATTCTTAGTAGGGACTGAGCCTTACACAATCCTGAAGGATAGAATATTTTATTTCAAATTTTAAATATTTTTAGCCCCATCCGCCATTCAGCAGACAAACGGATTTTTTTTTTAAAATCATTAAAAATTTATTTTTTCAAATTTTTATTATTTCTGTCATCGGAAAATCACCTGATTCTTAGTAGGGACTGAGCCTTACACAATCCTGAAGGATAGAATATTTTATTTCAACTTTTAAATATTTTTTGCTCCATTTCCTAGATTTTTGAAATATTGTACCTGATCCAAAAAAATTTTTTTTTTCTTATTTTTTCATAAACGAGAATTTTTTTAAGATCAGAAAATTTGATTTTGTAAAATAGAGGTTATTAAACTTTTTAAACTAAAATTCGTGTCAACTTATAGACAAAAGTTTGCTGTATAGATTAAATCTCTTTGAAATTTCAACAAGCAATAATCGATAATAGGAGTGCAAGATATTGAAAGATTGAAGATTAGATTAGAAACTTTTTTTCCACTTCTGCCTTTTTTCTGCACTTTACTTCCTAACTATATTTTACAATAATTGCTATTATTAGGCGGTATTTTTTTTCTTTCTTGAACAAGTACCAAGAACAAGTATTTCTAAGAATTGCTAACAAAAAAAATGTCTAGCAAAAAAAAATTGCTAAAAAAAAATTGCTAATAGACAAAATTTCTAAGAAAAAAAATTGCTAACAAATAAATTGATAGCAAAAAAAATGTATAGCAAAAGAATTTCTATCAAGAAAAAAATTGCTAACAAAAAAAAATGTCTAGCAAAAAGAAATTGCTAACAAAAATATTGATAGCAAAAAGAAATTGTTGACAGACAACATTTAAAAAAAAAAATTGCTAATAAAAAAATTGATAGCAAAAAAAATATATAGCAAAAGAATTTCTAGCCAAAATAATTGTTAATAGAAAAAATTTCTAACCACCAAAAATTGTTGACAAAAAATATTTCTAGAATTTTTCCTTAGCAATTTTTCTTGTTTGGAATTTTATTCGATAGCAATTTTTTTCGGTAGAAATATTTTCTACTGAGGAAAAAAATTTCTAACAAAAATATTTCTAGCAAAAAAAAAGTTTAGCAAAAAACATGTCTAGCAAAAAAAATTTTTAATATTAACTCACAAAGAATCCACCGCAAAAATTTTCATTGTCGTTGTAATTAATTGGTGTTTTGTATCCCCTCCTCCACATACTGGACCTATTGATAGGGTCCATTAATCTTCCGTGAGCAGAAATTTTTTGCAGATGAAAAACTAAAACTACTGAGAGAATGAGAAACTTTGAATGTTTCATGTTGATTAGCGATGATTTGCTTTCTGGAAGACGGTCAAATATTATAATAGTGGTAACGCCTGTTTGATGTTGACTCAACTTGCTTCCTCGTAAAAACTTATTCCTTAGCGAGTAATTAACAAATGACAATAAATCACTGGAATTACTCGCATATATATTTATGTAGAATCTATATCATTTTGTTTTTAATTTTTTTTGTTATTATTTTTCCCTCGATCGATATTCAAGTTCCCGGATAATCGCAATTAAATCAGATTATTATCTTTATAATTTCATTGATTTCCTTTACTGAGGTTGTGTTTTTGTATTTTTTGAAAATTTTTTTTTTGATGGATTTTAATCAAAGTTGTGATATTGGAATATGTTTGTCTATCTGGAAAATGTATTTTATATTTTATAAAATATTTTTTTTTTATAAAATCTATTTTTTTATTGGGAAAAGGGTTTAAAAATAATTGGAAAATTTTCCGAAATTCAATTATTTATATAGAAAAAACTTTTGTTAAAAGTTGTGACAAAAATTCAATTATTTTCACAAATAATAAAATTTTAACTGGAATTCAATTATTTAAAAAAATGTTTATTCTACGAAGAAATTCAATTATTTTAATAATATTTTTGACAATAAATTAATTTTCTTATCAAGTAATAACATTTTTTGCAAAAATTCAAGTGTTTTAAATAATTTTAATAAATTTTTTTTGGATAAAATTCAATTTTCTTCGTAAATTACAAAATTTTTCTCAGAAATTCAATTGGAATTCAATTTTGTATTTCAATAAATTTTTTGGCAAAAATTCAATTTTCTTCGTAAATAACAAAACTTTTTGTAGAAATTCAATTATTTAAAAAAAAATTTATCAAATTCTTAATAAAGTATTTAATTATCTTTATAAATAAAATTCTTTGTCAAAATTCAATTATTTTTATAAATAATAAATTTTTTTTTTAGAATTTCAATTATTTTTAAAAATTCTAATAAATTTCTTCCCAAGAATTTAATTTTCATAAATAAAATAAAAAAATTCTTCTTATTAATTCAACTATTTTTGGAAATAACAATTATTTGCAAAAATTTTAACTAAAATTCTGTTTAAAAATTCAATTATCTTCTTAGAAATATTGGAATTCGTAGAAAGAATTGAATTATTTTGAAAAATGATAATAAAATTCATAATTAAATCAATAAAATAAGATTAAGTTATTTTCAATGAAATTTTAATAAATTCTTTGCATAAATTCAATTATTTTCTACTTTTTAATATATTTTTTGAAAGAATTGAATTATTTAAAAAAATTCTGTTTGTTTTATTTAATTTTAAATTAAATTGAATTATTTTTAAAGTTTTAATAAAATTTTTGGAGAGAATTAAATTATTTAAGAGAAATTTAATAAAACTGGCATTAATTCAATTATCTTTATAAATAATAAAAAGAGAAAATTCAATTATTTTGAAAAATGTTAATAGAATTGTTTATAAGAATTTAATTTGAAGAAATATTCAATTATTAAATAAATTATTTATTTTTATTTTTAAATAAATGAATTCTCGTCGAACTTTCTAATAAAAATTTATTTACAAAGAAAAATTATATAAAGATATGAATAATAGAGAAAATATTATAATCAAGTTTACCTATCAAACAATTTAATTATAAAATTTTTATCTGTTAATTTTGGGAAAGTGGAATAAGAAATTAATAAAACAAACATTTACCAAATATATTAAGTAATTGCCATAAACTGTTAGGTTTTATTTACACTTTTACCTCTTTTCTCTTGAAAAATAAAAAAAAATTATAGGAAAATGAAATTTTCACTTTATTGCGATTTTTGAGATTTTTAAAAGTTTATAATTTTTTTTTTTGTGGAGAAAATTGAAAAATTGTACCTAAGACTTTAGAAGAAAAATTCAATTATTTTCATGAATAATAAACTTTTTGAATAGTATTCAATTATTAAAAAAATTTTAATAAAATTCTTCTTAAGAATTCAATTATTTTCATAAATAACAAAATTCTTCACAAAAATTCAATTATTTTCAGAAATTTAAAAAAAATTCTTGGCAAAATTCAATTATTTTTATAAATACGAATATTCATCACAAGAATTCAATTATATTTTCATAAAAGTAATAAAATTCTGCGCAGAAAATTAATTATTTTCAAAAATTTTTTAGATTTTTTAGTGAAGAATTCAATTATTATATTAAAAATTGCAAAATACTTCGCTAAATTCAATTATTTTTTCAAATAAAAAAATCTTTCACGGGATTTGAATTATTTATAAAAATTTTAATAAAATTCTTCTTTGAAATTCAATTACTTTCATAAATAATTAATTTTTAACAGGAATTCAATTTTTTTTTGAAATTTTAATAATATTCTTTACAAGAATTCAATTATTTTTAGGAATTTAAAAAAATTCTTTGCAAAATTCAATTTTCTTCGTAAATAACAAAATTTTTTGCAGAAATTCAATTATTTTAAAATTTTTTATCAAATTCTTAATAAAGTATTTAATTATTTTTATATAAATAAAATTCTTTACAAAAATTCAATTATTTTCATGAATAATAATCTTTTTGAATAGTATTCAATGATTTAAAAAATTTTAATAAAATTCTTTGCAAGAAGTCAATTATTTTAAGAAAAATTAAAATTCTTCTCAGGAAATCAATTATGTTCATAAATAATAAAATTCTTTTTAAGAATTCAATTATTTTCATAAATAACAAAATTCTTCACAAAAATTCAATTATTTTCAGAAATTTTAATAAAATTCTTGGCAAAATTCAATTATTTTCATAAATACGAATATTCAACACAGGAATTTCAATTATTTTCAAATATATTAAAATTCGGCGCAGAAAATTAATTATTTTAAAATTTTTTTTTAGAAATTCTAATTAAGAATTCAGTTATCATTATAAGTAGCAAAATACTTCGTTAAAATTAAATTATTTTTGCAATTAAAAAAATCTTTCACGGGAATTGAATTTTTTATAAAAATTTTAATAAAATTCTTCTTAGAAATTCAATTACTTTCATAAATAATTAATTTTTAACAGGAATTCAATTATTTTTCGAAATTTTAATAATATTCTTCACAAGATAGAATTCAATATTATTTTCAGGAATTTAAAAAAATTCTTTGCAAAATTCAATTATTTTCGTAAATAACTGTATAAAATTTTTAATATTTTGTAATAAAATAAATTTAATTTTTGTAATAAAATTTTTCGGAGAAATTTAATTATTTTCAAAAAGATTTTTAATTTAGCTCTAAATTTGAATTAGTAAAATTTTCCTAATTTGAATTAGTTTATTCATTGTTGATAACATTCATTAACTTTTTTCTAACATTGAAAACAATTTGAAGTTTTTCAATTTTATTTTCGCGACGAATATATTAAAATTAATTTTTTTTTATTCTTCTACGCAAATAATATTTTATTCTTGTAAATTTTTTCTCCATATAATTTATTTTATTTAATATTATCTGTGGATAAAGTTCTTATCTCCATAACCTTTACTCGTCAAAACTTATTCTGACAATGTGGTTACATTCCCATTTGTCAAAAGTAAAATGATTAAAAGTGCTGCGATACTAGAACAATTGAAAATAGTAGAGATTGAAAATTTTCGGTAGCAGTGTTATTTTCTTAACATTTTTTAACTAAACACAAAAAAAGAGTGATTTACAACAGTTATGCGTTCATCAATTGTTTACATTATTTTCTGAACAATGTTTACATTATTTCTACGAAACTTGTGATATTGTGTGTCTGCATTATCAATTTATAGAAAATCAAATTTTTGACACGCAGGTAATTAAATTAATTAGGAAGGAAAAATTATTGTTTCTAAGCTATTTATTTGTTATTTAAAAAAGAAGACACAGTAAGTATTGATTGTTTAAACTATTTTTGAATATTATTAATTTTTCTAATCAAGGTCATTAACATTAAATATTTACATTTATTAATTTATCGACTGTAGATGAAAGTTTTCACGCCTCAGTCGATAAAACGAATTTTTTCTCATTATTTTCACTTTTATTCACAGAATTCTTTTGAAAAATTAAATATAAAGTTTAAAATTTCAGTTTTAGTTATATTGACAATGGAAACAAATGAAAGACTTTTGAATGGAGACGAAAGGGAAACAATTCAATTAAAGTGCAATTTTCATTATGTTTGTTCGGCACCAGGGTTAATACAAATAGTAGAATTGGTGAGTTTTCTTTGTTTCTAAACACACTTGCAGATTCGTAGCGTGGTAATTAACAATTTAACAATTTAACAATAACACTTGTAATTCAATTATTCTCGCAACCATTTGGATTTTAAATGAAATTTTATTTGTTTATTTATTTAATTATTAACAGGATTTAATTATTAATTAAATTAAATTAATATTAATTATTTAAATAATGTTTTTATGACTTTATTGTTTATTTATTATTTCTTCACTGTCTTAATTTTTTTTTATTGTTTATTTGTTATTTCTTTACTATTTTTTTATTATTATTTATTTGTTAGTTCTTTATTATTTTTTAAATCTTTATTTATTATTTTTTATTTCTTAACTATTTCTTTATTTTTTTTTTTTGTTATTTCTCTATTATTTATTTATAAAAATCCCTAAAGTTGGCGTCGACGTTGAGCGTCGACAAATATTTATTTTGCGAAACCGAAAAAATAAAACGAATTTTCTTGAAAGTAATGTAATTTAAAAATAATTGAAAGGAATTGTATTATTTTAATTAATTTAATTAATTAAATTGATGAAATTAATTAAATTAATTTATTTAATTTAATAATCGGCAAAATGAATAATTTTCAGATGTTACCGCCCTTGGGATTTTTATTTATTACGATACAAATATTGGACTCTTCTTTAATTGAACTTTCAAATAGATGGATAATTATTCAACTATTTTTGATTTTGTTAAGACTGATACCATTCTTGTTATTTGAGGCTCAAGCAACGTATTATTTGCGCGCACTCTTGTTGTATGTAAGTTTCCACCTTTTATCATGTTTTTCAATTCAATTCGAAATTTAATAATTTTTATAAATAATTAAACAGAATTACACAAAAAAAAAAATTGAAATTCAATATGGAGACGCTATTCTCCACTTGAGAACGCCAAGGTCACCGTTAGATGGCCAGACGCCATCTAGCGATGACCTTGGCGTTCTCAAGTGGAGGAATTCAACCATTTTATCAATTTTTTTCAGTTAAATGAAATTCCTTCAAATTTTTAATTATTTAAAAAGATCTTCGTAAAATCGAATCTAATTTAAAATAAATACAAAAAAAAAAAAATTCATTAGAAAGTTTAAAATTAAAATTAATGTAAACAATTGTAATTAAATTCTGAGAAAGAATTGAATTATTTCCATAAATTTTAATAAAATTCTTCTTAATTTCAATTAAATTCCCCAAAGAAATTTAGTGATTTTCAATTTAATTTTAATTAAATTCGTCAAAATAATAATTTAATTATTTTTCGAAAAATTTAATAAAGTTCTTGAAAACAATTCAATTATTTTAATAAAATTCATAATTGAATAAACAAATTCCTCAAAAGAGCTCAATTATTTTAAATTTCACAGAAAATTTAATTATTTTTCAGAAAAATTTTAATAAAGTTCTTGAAATTCAATTATTTTAATAAAAATTTATAATTGAATAAATTTCCTCAAAAATGAATTCAATTATTTTTGGTAGAATTTCAGTTAAACTCGAAAGAATTTAATTTTTCTTTAAATAAAAATAATAATAGAAAATCAATAAATTTCTAGAAAGAATTCAATTGAATTCGCCTCAAAATAATTTAATTATTTTTCGATAATTTTTGATAAAATTCTTGAAAACAATTCAATTCTTCAAATAAAATTTATAATAGAATTAATAAATTTCTAGAAAGAATTCAATTAAATTTCTCAAAAGAAATTAATTATTTTTCGAAAATTTTAAGAAAATTCTTTATAAAAAAAAAATTCATTTATTTTAACAAAATTCATAATTGAATCAATAAATTCTTCAAAGAATTCAATTCTTTCAATGCAATTTCTTTCTAGGCAACGAGATTACGAGATTTTCAATATTTGCGAGGAATTAGATTGAATAATTGAAAATAATTGAATTTGTGTCAAGAATTTTATTGAATATAATTCAATTCTTTCGAAAAATTTGATTCAATAATTGAAAATAATTGAATTTTATTAAAAATTTGAAAATAATTCAATTCTTTCGAAAAATTTTTATTCAATAATTGAAAATAATTGAATTTTATTAAAAATTTGAAAATAATTCAATTCTTTCCAAAAATTTGATTCAATAATTGAAAATAATTGAATTCGTGCATAGAATTTTATTAAAATTTTAAAAAGAATTGAATTCATACGAAGAATTTTATTAAAATTGCATTTAAAATTTTTAAATAATTCAATTCTTTCTAGAAATTTGATTGAGAAATTGAAAATAATTGAATTCGTGCGAAGAGTTTTATTAAAATAACATTGAGAATAATTTAATTCTTTATCGAAATTTTATTGATAAATTAAAAATAATGGAATTCGTGCGAAAAAAGTTTATTGAAAATTTCAAAATAATTTAATAAATAAAAAAAAATAATAATTAAAAAAAAATTGTATTTAAAATAATTCAATTCTTTCGCGAAATTTTATTGAAAAAATTGAATTATCAAGAAAAAATTGATATCAAGAATTCAATTATTTATTTATTTTCAAAAAATTTTTATAAAATTCATAATTAAATCAATAAAATAATTCAATTATTTTCAGTGGCAAAATCCACTGGTAAAAATTCGGTTTGACATTTTATGAAAATTTTATATACGAGAAAACTATTATAGTAAATTATTGTATTTAGAAAAAATTGGCAAGAATTTATTCAAAGTTTTATTTTTTAATTAAAATTCTTTTTTTGGTTTGATTCTTGTTATTAAGCATTACTTAATAATAATAATAATTATTATTCTAGGAATTATGTATGACTGTCGGAATTTTAGCGTGCTACGTAGTGGCGATTCCCTTTATATTCTCTAAAGATGAACCTCGCGCGATTAATATGATGGTGAGTATTATAAATGAGTGTAATAAAATCTTATCAAAAATTTTTTTCATCTACATTTTAAACCCATTTCAGGTCTTTATTACCTGCGGTATCATAATTAATGCAGCGCATATAGCTTGGATTCTCTTTCGAATAGTTAATAAAAATTCTCATAATTGGTAATATTCCAATTTCCAAATGTCACGTCGCACTTTACCGTTGTATTATATTTATATTTTATAACATTGTAACTGCAATATTGTTACTCTAGATTATCAATTTTTTGGTTTATGTATATGCGTATTAAAAATTGTATGTTTTTTAATTGTATCTTATTTATTTGGTTATAATTATAATTAACTATTTTTATTATTACCTATTTGATTACTTACAAAAAATACAGTTATAATAATTTAAAAATTGGAGTTAATTTAATTTTTCTTCTAAATGCAGTGCAGTAAAAAGAAAGTCTTATTTTAAGGCGACAAGGTCTTAAATTGCAAAATTTTTAAGGCGCACAGCCAATGCTAAATCCGAATTAGTGAAAATGAAAACGTCACTAATTTGACATTTATTATTTCCCTAGGGAGTAAAAAATTTTCCAGAGTTGATTTTAAAACTTAAAACCTTCGAAAAAAAATTTTCTGTCACAGGAAATAATATTTTTTGACGCTTAGCGTTGACACTAACTTCAGGGACCACTAACAACTGAAAATAAACTAAAAATGAAAACTAAATAAAAACTAAAAATAAACTAACACAAATTTTTAAGGATTTAAAATATTGAAGCAGTTACTGAAATTAAGCTTGTTATTCTTAAATTAAGATTTTCTTTTTACTGTGTGTATGAATGTGAAGAGGATGATTTTTTTTTTTTATAGAACAGCGATGTCTGAACATCCTCGAAATGTTTCTTGAGGGGCGCAGTCATTTTTCTCACTCAGCCCATTGCAATCGCCCCAAGTATTTCCCGTTATGTATTCCCAGCGAAAAACACAATTTTCGCAAGTCAGTCCATCGGGAAGTTTAACTTGAACGTCGAAAATCCCTGCCGGACTCTCGCCAATTTCATATTGATCGGAGCCATCGGCTAATTTCAGTGGCAAAAAGCAATCTTCTTCTTCGAGTTGTTTTGGCGTCTCCAAAGGGCAGAGGGAGAATTTAAAGGCTCCTTTGTGAGAGGCTGTGAGATTAGTCACTGTATTTATTACCTCACCCGAATTGTAACTGTAAACAATTTTTAAATTACAATTAAAATTACATAAAAATAAAAATTAAATTTAAATGAAATTTTAATTAAAATTAAATTAAAATTCAATTAAAATTAAAATTAAAATTAAATTAAAATTAAATTAAATTAAAATTAAAATTAAATTAAAATTAAATTAAATTAAAATTAAATTAAATTAAAATTAAATTAAAATTAAATTAAAATTAAATTAAAATTAAATTAAAATTAAATTAAAATTAAATTAAAATTAAATTAAAATTAAATTAAAATTAAAATTAAATTAAAATTGAAATTACTAATTTCATAGTCAAAACAAAAAACAACATCTATTACAATTTAATTTCAAAAATTTCAAAGAAATTCAATTATTTTTTGGAGATTTTTGATAAAATTATTCGTAATTAGAAAAAAACGGTTAAAGAAAAATTTTTTTGAAAATAAAAAAGAAGAATAATGTTTACATTTGGACAATAACACCAAGTCCGTATTCTCCAGTATTTTCACTGGGTCTCGGAATTGGTAATCGGTAATCATCACCACAAATTCCACATTTTCCACCATTAATTATGTGCTGAACCTGAAAAACAGAGAAATTTATATATTTGTTTACTTATTTATTTATTTATTTATAATTAAATAGAAAGAATTAATTATAATTAATAATATATAAATATAATTATTAAATAAATTATTTATTTTTCTATTTAAATCATTAAATTCTCGTAGAGCATTAATTATAATTTGTACGTTATTTTAAAATTTAAAGCTTCAACGTAGAAGAATAATTATTGAATTTTCTTAAATTTTGTTGAATATATACCTAAAATGAATTTTTTCCAGAAATTTGATTGAAAAATTGAAAATAATTGAATTCTTAGGAAGAATTTCATTAAATTTTTTTTTTTTTTGAAGAATTGAACTCTCGTGGAAAATTTTCTTATTTATGAAAATAATTGAATTCTTATAACGAATTTTATTAAAATTTGTCAGAATAATTGAATTCTTGTGAAGAATTTTCAATGAAATTATTAAAATATAATATATAAATTTTAATAACTTCCTAAATAAATAAATAAATAAAATTGAACTATTACTATAACAATTCTCCTAAAATTCAAAAAGTTTTTTGTTGTAATTTTTTAATGAAATTATTCTAAACTTTAATCATTTGGTAAAAAAAAATAAATGAATAACTTTTCAACAAAAAATTCTAATATTATTACATTTCACAATTAAAATATTCAATTATTAGTTAAAATTGTAAATGAAATTCATTTTTAAATCAATTCCTATTAGAAAGTTTTACGAGATTTCAATTCTTTCGAGGAATTATATTAAATAATTGAAAATAATTGAATTTGTGCGAAGAATTTTATTGAAAATTTAAAAATAATTGAATTCATACGAAGAATTTAATTAACATTGTATTTAAAATAATTCAATTCTTTCGAGAAATTTGATTGAAAAATTGAAAATAATGGAATTTTTTTTTGAGGAAATAAAATGAAGAATTGAAAATAATTGAATTCGAGGAAAGAATTTTATTAAAATTGCATTAAGAATAATTCAATTCTTTCCCGAAATTTTATTGAAAAATTAAAAATAATTGAATTCGTGCGAAGAATTTTATGGAAAATTTCAAAATAATTGAATTCATACGAAGAATTTTATTAAAATTGTATTTAAATTAAAATAATTTAATTCTTTCGAGAAATTTGATTAAAAAATTTAAAATAATTAAATTCGTGGCAAGAATTTTAATTACATTAAAAATAATTCAATTCTTTAAATTTGTACAATTTTATTCAAAATAATTTAATTTTTTTTCTAAAATTTTATTTAAAAATAAAAAATAATTGAACTAGTGTGAAATTTTTTTTTTTAAAAATTAAAAATAATTGAAATAAAACGAAGGATTTTTATTATAATTGCATTTAAAATACTTGAAATTCTTTAAAGAAATTAAATTGAAAAATTGAAAAGAATTGAATTTTCGTGGCAAGAATTTTAATAAAACTACATTGAAAATAATTCAATTCTTTCGAGAAATTTGATTGAAAAATTGAAAATAATTGCATTTTTTCGAGGAATTTGATTGAAAAATTGAAAATAATTGAATTCGTGCTAAGAATTTTATTAAAATTGCATTGAGAATGATTCAATTATTTTTTCCCAAAATTTTATTGATAAATTAAAAAAAAATTGAATTCGTGCGAAGAAATTTATTGAAAATTTGAAAATAATTGAATTCATACGAAGATTTTTAATAAAACTAGAAATATTGAAAGTAATTCAATTCTTTCGCGAAATTTGATTGAAAAAATTGAAATTATTTGAATTTCTGGACGAATTTTCGTTACAATTTTTTATTTAAAATTAAAATAATCTTTTGATTCTTTTAAGAAATTTTATTATTGTAAATTCTAAAAATATACATACATCTCTACCACCGCAAAAGCTTTCATTGTCCGTGTATTCTTCCGGTGTGGGAAATCCTTTCCTCCAAGCGCTTTTTCTATTCACAGGATCCATGAGAGAGCCATGTCCATCTATTCGTTTTAATTTAATAATCAAGAAAAAAATCATAATTACAAATTTTATAAATTCCATTATTTAAAAAATCTCGAATAAAGAAATTCCAATTCTTTTGCAATCAATCTGAAATGTTATACTGTCAACTAATTTTTACCTCAAGGAAAAATCATATTTTTATACTTATAATTGTGAATTCAGTGTTGTTTCCTTTGTCATGTTAATTAAAATTTTGATTTTGATTGAAACATTGCAAATATTGAATTTAACAAATACGTAGTACATTTTCAAGCTTTATATTAAAAAATAAGTGAAAAGAAAATGCAAAGATTTCTTGAGTCATAATTTTACGAGAAATCAGTTTATTATATTATTTTTATTATACATATACAATAGTTTCTATTTTATTATAAAACTAAGTTCAAGAGACTAATATAATTTAAAAAATATATTTGCTCAGCATTTAAAACTTTTTATTCCAAATAGATGTGAGTAATTATTTGAAAGTCTTTTAAATAAAGCAAATGTTATCTTATTTCATATAGAAAAGATTTATTCAAATGTCAGGAAATTGTATGTGTCATTAGAGGAAATATATTTAAAAAGGCCAAAAAGTTTCTCAGAATTCTACACTCATAAAATAGTTTTGGTATAATGAATTTTTTTCGTTGATGTTAAACTAGAATATATTTAATTAATTATCAAAAATAATGGATTTATAGAAAAATTTTAGTTAAAAAATTAATAACAAAATTGAATTTTGGAGAAGTTTTACAAATATAATTGAAGAAATTCAATTATTTTCAAAAGTAATAAAATTCTTCGCAAAAATTCAATTGTGTTCTATTTCTTTATAAATAATAAAATTTTTCTCCGAAATTCAATTGTTTTCAAAAATTTTAATAAACTTCCAAAAGAATTCAATTATTTAACAAATTTTTTGATAAAATTATACGCAAAAATTTAATTATTTTCCTTAATATAATAAAAATTTCACAGGAATTCAATTATTCACAAATTTTGTTATAAATTTTTTCGCAATAATTCAATTACTTTCATAAATAATAGAATTTTTTACAGGGATTCAATTATTTTCACAAATAATAAAATTCATTGCAAAATTTCAATTATTTTCAAAAATTTTAAACTCTTTCATGGAATTCAATTAAAATTGTGTTGAAAATGATTTAATTCTTAAGAATAATTGAATTCTTTGGACGAATTTCATTAAAATTTTTAAAATAATTGAATCTTATCGAGAAATTTTTTTTTATTGTATTAAAAAGAATTGAATTCCTACGAAACAGTTTTGTCAAAACTTTTGAAAATATTTAAATTTCTGAGAAAATTTTGATATTTATGAAAGTTAAATTAAATTCTTGCTAAAAATTTTATTAAGATTCTTGAAAATAATTGAATAAATTTGACTTGTTTATTCTTTAACGAAAATATTTTAATTCTTGCGAAAAAGTTTATTAAAATTACAGAAAGGAATTGAAGATCTGCAAAGTATTTTGTTATTTTTTATTTATGCCAAGAATTTTTAAAACATTTTTTAAATAATTACATTTTTACGAATTTTTTATACGAATTTAATAATATTTGAATAATTTAATAAAATTCTTTGTAGGAATTCAATTATTTTCGTAAACAACAAAATTTCTTTGAAGGAATTAAATTATTTGTGAAATTTTAATAAAATTCTTCCCAAGAATTCAATCAGTTTAATAAAATTCTTCGCGAGATTTCAATTATTTTCAATTTTTAATTAAATTTCTCAATGGAATTTAATTATTATCAACAAGTTTTAAAAAATTCTAAGAAATTCAATTATTTAAAAAATTTGAATAAAATTCTTCACAGGAAATCAATTATTTTCGTAAATAATAATATTTTTCTACAGAATTCAATTATTTTCACAAATAAAATTCTTCACAGGAATTCAATTTTAAGAAATATTTAATTATTTAATAAATTATTTATTTTTGTATTTAAATAATTGAATTCTCGATGAATTTTCTAATAAAAATTGATTAAAAAATGAATTCCAGTTATAGTTTTAGATTATAATTGAATATTATGAGCATTATAGCGTGAATTTTTTGAAATAATTGAATTTACTTTCAACTATCAATTCTGTAAAAAAGTTTTTGATAAATTTCTTTATAAGAATTAATTTTTAATAAATATTCGATTATTCTATCAATTATTTATTTTTATGTATTTAAGTAATTGAAATCTCGTAGAATTTTTCAATAAGAATTTGTTTTAAAATGAATTTCAGTTAAAAATTTAAATAATAATTGAATATTAGAAGCATTATATGATGTGGTTTTTAGAAATAATTGAATATTGAAAATAGTTCAAATAAAAATTCTTTAACATTTTTTTTTTGAAAAATTTCATTTCCATTTTTGTTATAATTAATTGAATTTTTTAATATATGTTTAATTAATTATTAAAAATAATTGATTTAGAAAATAATTTTAGTTAAAAACTCAAAGAAAATAATTGAATTTCAGAGAAGTTACAAATAAATGTAATTTTGAGAAATAATTGAATTTTGAAAAGGTTTGAAATTAAAATCTTTGAAAATTTGTATTTTTCATACTTTTAACTAACAATTTTGTAATAATTAATTATTTTTGAAAAAGTTTAATTGAATTTTTTTTGTAAATATTTGAATTTTTTATTTTCTAATTTATTTAATTGAAGAATTTCTGAATAATTGAAAATTCGTAAAATTGAAATGTAAACAAATGGATTTAAAAATCTTATCATTTTTAGAGTTAATCAAAATATTTTTCAGGGAAAAAATAAGAATAAAACTTGAGTGATTTTTGAATAAAAAATTTTATTAAGAATAACGATAAATATTGTTCTTAAAAATAGAAAAACAGTCATGTTTGGTTGCTCTCTCATTGTATAGAAATATCCGAGCAGGATTTGAAATTTTCCTGCGGACCACAGCCAGTCTGTCCCGTTCCGTCATTGCAAATTCCCCACGAGTTGCCGGCAATGTATTCCCATCGAAATACGCAGTGCTTGCAGGTCAGTCCCTGTGGGAGAATAACTTTTGTCTTAATAATTCCCGGTCCTTTATTTCCCATATTGTAGGATTCAGTGCCATCAGCTAATTTAAGGGGAATAAAACAGTTCTCCTCCTCGAGCTCCTTATCGTGCTTCAAAGGACAAAGATTGAATATAAAGTGTCCTTTGTGAGCGGCAGAAATATTCACTTCCACGTCAATAATTTCGCCTGATTTGTAACTGTAGAGGAAAAGTCAGTCTTTGATTTAGATTCACAAGAAATAAAAAATACTTGCAAGAAAAAATTTTCTTTATGTTTGAATAATTTTTTTCTTTTAGTTATTAAAAAAAAAAAAAATAAAAAAAAATTTAGAATTGTTTTGAAAATAAAATTTTTTTTTTTGCTTTTTTTACGTTTTTACGATGGTTCCGGTTCCGTAAGTTCCTCTATTTTCGGTTGGTCGAGGACGGGGAAGTTGAAAATCATCGCCACAAATTCCACACTTGCCATTGTTTACTGAGTGTTGAATCTAAAAATTTGCAAAATTTTCGCTGTTGATAATTAATTTTAAAAAATTACTAAAGAGAAGATTTCAGACTCGAAAAAATAGTAAAAAAGTATCAAACGAAAAATTAAATCTGAAGACTAAAAATACTCGTTTTAGACGATTCACAAATTTTTCCTAATTTTCATTTTAAAAAAAATTGTTTTTTTATCCTGCTAATAACTTTAATTCTAAATTTTTGCAAAATTTAATTAAATTACATTCAAAACTTAAATTCAAAAATTCCAAAATTTCTGAAGAAAATTATTCTAAACTTTAATCATTTTTTAGAAAAATAATAAATAAATAACTATTTCGAAATAAAAATTCAAATATTAATACAATTTAACAATTAAATATTCAAAATAAAATATTAAAATAAAAATATTATTAAAATATTTAATTATTATTTAAAATTTTAACTAAAATTCATATTTAAATCAATTTTTTATTATAAAGATCTACGAGAATTCAATTATTTAAACACAAAAAAAATTAATTTATTGATTGAATGTTTCTAAAAATTGAATTGTAATAAAGAATTTTATCAAAAAATTTTTAAATAATTGAATTCTTTCGACGAATTTTAACAAAATTTTTAAGAATCATTACATTTTTCCAGGAATTTATTTAGAATTGAATTGAAAATAATTGAAATGCAGCAATGAGTTTTATTACTTATGAAAATAATTGAATTCCTAAAAAGAATTTTATTTTTCATGAAAACAATTAAATCCCTAGGAAGAATTTTAATATTTATGAAAATAATTGAATTCTTGCAAAGAATTTTATTAAAAATTTTTAAAATAATTGAATTTTGGCGCAAAATTTTGTTATTTGTAAAGATAATTCAAATCTTGATGAGAAATTGTCCTTAAAGTTTTTAAAATAATTGAATCGTGTCAAAGAATTTTATGACTATTTAAAATAATTGAATTTTTGAGATGAATTTTATTATTTGTAGAAAACAATTAAATTTATTTGTGAAAGTGTTTTGAAAAATAATAGAAATTCTGCATTGAATTTTATTTGTTACGAAAATAATTGAATTCTTACGAGAAATTTTATTTAAACTTTTGAAAATAATTGAATTTCTGCGCGGAAATTTGTTATTTATAAAAATAATTGAAATCTTGACTAGAATTATTAAAAAAAAGTTTTAAATAATTAAATTTCTGCGATGAGTTTTATTATTTATGAAAATAATTGAAATTTTGTGATGCATTTCATTATTTATAAAAAAAATTGAATTCCTAAAAAGAATTTTATTATTTGTAATTGTAATAATAATTAAATTCCTCTGAGACTAATTTTAATATTTATGAAAATAATTGAATTCTTACGCAGAATTTTATTAAAATTGCATGTAAAATAATTGTATTATTTCAAGAAATTTAATTGAAAAATTGAAATTAATTGAATTTGTTAACGAATTTTATTACAATTTTATTCAAAATAATTTAATAGTTTTGAGAAGAAAAAAAATGAATTTTTTTTTTTTATTTTATTAAAGTAATTGAAAATAATTGAATTCGTAGAAGAACTTCATTGAAATGGAATTGAAAATAATTCAATTCTTTTCAGAAATTTCATTAAGAAATTAAAATATAATTGAATTTATTTGACAAATATTATTAATTACAAAGTAATTGAATTTTTCCGAAGAATTTTGTCAAAATTTTGTAAAAATTGAAAATAATTGAATTCCTCACATGAATTTTATTATTTATGAAATTAATTGAATTCTTGACAAGAATTGACAATAAAAATAATTGAATTCGTGGAAGAATTTCTTAAAAATTGCATTGGAATTTGAAAATAATTCAATTCTTTCCAAAAATGCGATTAAAATAGTAAAAATAATTGAATTTAGATGACGTATATTATTAATTATTAAAATAATTGAATTTTTACGAAGAATTTTATTAATATTTTTGAAAATTGAAATTAATTGAATGTTTTCATATAGAATCTTATCAAATTTATATTTAAATAATTGAATTCTTTTGGAAAATTTTGTTAAAATAGTAAATATTGAAAATAATTTAATTTGGAAAAATTTTCGAAAGTAATAAATTGCATCGTTTGAATTGAAACTCAGTCAATTCAAAAGTATTTCAATTTTTTTTTTACTATAACTTTCTAGCTTAGAAAAATTTTTTTATGGTTAATAATAAACTATATATTATTAATATACAAAATTACATTTTTCTTGAATTGTTGAATTTTTTTTGTTTTGAATTTAAAATTTTTGTGAAATCTGTAAATTTTTCAAATTTTTTTTTGTCCCAAACGTTTTTCTAAAAATTTGTTTCCCTTTTTTTCTCTTTTCTCTCACCTCTTTGCCTCCACAAAAACCTTGGTTATCAGTATAATTCGGAGGCGTTTTAAATCCCTTTCTCCATGCACTTAATCTATTCACAGGGTCCATAACTTTTCCATGGCCAAAAACTCCCCGTAGATCAAAGACTAGAATGAAACTTAAAATGAAAATTTTCCCCACTTTCATTTTTGTCCGTTTAATTAAGAAGAGGTTTCTTTTTTAAAAAAGAAGTTTTTTTTTAAAAATGTTTTTTGAAAGAAAGTTTTTTAAAAAAGGTTTTTAAAAAAGGTTTTTAAAAAACGAAAATTATTTTTCAAATTGAAAATAAAAGAGGAAATTTTCTCTGATGATCTTTTCTTGAATTCGTCTTCTTTTTATATATGATTCTTATAATAATATTGGAAGGGGATGTAAAGTTCTCTCCTACTCAATTATTATTCATTATATTCAAAGAACAACTGTTTTTGTTTTTTACGCGTTTTAATTCAACATTCTAAAGGAAAAGTTACAAAAATATTAGCATTCATGACGATTGTCATAATAAGCAACTTTATTTTTTTTTTCTCTTCGATAATATTGCAACTCAGGTGTTACATATTATATATTGATGTCATTCGTGTGCGCAATGAAACAAATGAATTATGCTGATAAATAAAAATATCAACATTAATTAGCATATAAAAATAAAGCAAATTAGAAAATATGTAATAACAGAATTTTTCACTTGGGAAAATAATAATAAAAGGTGAAATAATAGAAGAGCAATTCTTCGAGTCAAGGTGGTAAAAATTAAGAAAACAGATAAATTTTAAACACTCCAAGAGATCACATATCATCAGAAGTTTAAAGGAAAATTTTTAAATAAATATTTGTAAAATTAACGCACAGCTGAATTTATAGAGAATTTTCTTCGTTTTCTGAAGTTGAGGACTTTTAAAATTTATGTGTTTGTATTTTTAACTTCTTGACTTTGTTAATTAATAGTCATTATCTAAAATTAAAAACGTTTTCGAAAAATATTTTTCTTTGACTATTTATGGATCTTTTTATTTATTATTTATTAATTTATATTCTATTCAAATTATTTTACTATTTTTTATTTTACAGTTTATCAATTTTTATCGAATTCAATTATTTTCAATTATTCAATAAAATATTTCTAAAGAATTGATTTATTTTCAAGGCAGTTTTAAAAAAATTCGTTGCACCAATTCAATTATTTTCAATTTTTCAATAAAATTTCTCTAAAGAATTGAATTATTTTTAATGAAATTTTAATGAAATTTTTCACAAATTCAATTATTTTCAATTTTTTAAAAAATTTTACAAAAAAATTAAATTATTTCAAATAAAATTGTATAAATTGAAAGAATTGAATTATTTTCAATGCAATGTATTCAATTATTTTCGTTTTTTCAATTAATTTATCGAAAGAATGGAATTATTTTCAATGCAATTTTAAAATGAAATTTTTTCACGAATTTAATTATTTTCCATTTAAAAAAAAATGTACAAAAGAATTGAATTATTTTAAATAAAATTGTATAAAATTAAAGAATTGAATTCTTTTCAATGTAGTTTCATTAAAATTCTTGTCACGAATTCAATTATTTTCAATTTTTCAGTAAAATTTCTCTAAAGAATTGAATTAATTTCAATTCAATTTTAATAAAATTCTTCGCACTTATTTTTAATCAATTATTTTTAATTTTTCAATCAAATTTCTCGTATGATATTCTTCGTGTGATTTCAATTATTTTCAATTTTTCCATAAAATTCTTCACACGAGTTCAATATTATTTTTAATTTTTAAATTAATTTCTCGAAAGAATTGAATTATTTTGATGGAATTTTAATAAAATTTGTCGCACTAATTCAATTATTTTTAATTTTTCAATACAGTTTCTGTGCACGAATTGAATTATTTTAATTTTGAAAATTATTAAAAATAATTGATTTAGAAACAAATTTTAATTAAAATTTTCTGAAAAATAATTGAAAAATTTGTAGGAAAAACTTGAAATTATCAAAAATAATTGAATCAGAGAAGAATTTGAGTTCGAATTTTCAGAAAATAATTGAATATTATAGAAAAATTATATAGTAAGTTAGAAATATTTCAATATCAATAAGGTTAATATTTTTCAATTTTAGTTCTTGTGGAAAAATAAATAACAATAAACATTTTAAAAGAATTTAACAAAATTACTAAAGTATTGAGTATATAATATATAAATATAAAATATAAATATATAAATGGCGCAGTTAACTTTTCAAAAATCTGTTCGCCACAATTTTTTGTTGAACTTTTTAGAGCGACTGATATAAAATTCCTCGCTCTTCAATATTGTAACTTTCTTTATAAATTGAGTGAAATTGAAAATAAAATTAACATTCTTATTTCTGTTGAAGAGAAATTTATAAAATTATATTCATATTTAAATTGGTGGATGACTTTTTAATCGTTATACATGTTTTAAGTAATTTACTTTATTTTATTATTAATACACACCGCAGACATCTGGAGAAAATCAGACTATATAGAAAACCAATTTACGTTAATAATTCAGTGCTTGGCTTTCCCCCAAAATTAAATTATTAATTCATTATAATATCGATATTGCCATACAATGAAATCTTTTCTCCATTATTATTTCAGGACAATTTTTTAATTTTATGTCTTTCGAATTCAAGTATTTTTGTTCCATTAAAAAATTAATTTATATTATCACCGCTTTTTTTTAACTTTGAGTATAATAACTTCTCTCAAAATTTAAATTAGAAAAATTGTTTATTAATTTGAATATAAGTTACTGACTTTTCGCTTTTGAATTAGTAAAATTTATTAATAAATAGCAATTTTCACTAATTTATTAGTAAAGTTTACTAATAAATAGCCATTTTCACTAAGTTATTAGTAAAATTTAGTAATAAATAGCTACAATTAGTTATTTTATATTTACTAGTTATTTATTTATTTACAAACAAAATAATTTTACTGATAAATATTAGTGACTGACTTTTTTCTTTCGAATTAGTAAAATTTACTAATAAATAGCAATTTTCAATAATTTATTAGTCGAATTCAATAAGAAAAAGAACTTTCCAATAATTTATCAAATTTCTAATAAACAGAACTTTTATTACTAACATTTACTACTAAATAGCAATTTTAACTGAGTTATTAGTAAAATTTACTAAAAAATAGAAATTTTCACTAATTATTAAAATTATTATTTCTTAAAATTTACTAAATGAACAGAAATTAATACTAAGTTATTAGTAAAATTTACTAATAAATAGCAATTTTCAATAATTTATTTATCAACTTCCTAATAAATAGAACTTTTTACTAATTTAATATTAAAATTTACTAATAAATAGCTGCTATTTTTTATTTATTATTTATTTACTAACAAAATAATTTACTGATAAATATTAGTGACTGACGTTTTCCTTTCGAATTAGTAAAATTTACTAATAAATAGCAATTTTTACTAATTTATTACTAAAATTTACTACTAAATAGCAATTGAAACTAAGTTATTAGTGAAATTTACTAATAAATAGCTGCTATTTTTTATTTATTATTTGTAAGCAAAATAATTAACTAATAAATATTAGTGACTGAATATTAGTGAAATTTACTAATAAAAAGCTACAAATAGTTATTTATTATTTATTAGCGGTTTATTTGTTTACTAACATTAATTTTCACTAAATTTTTAGTGATATTTACTAATAATTAGCTGCTATTTGCTGTTTATTAATTGATTAGCAATTTATTATTTACTGATAATTTATTTACTAACAAAATAATTTACTAATAAATATTAGTGACTGACTTTTTGCTTTTGAATTTGTAAATTTTACTAATAAATGTCAACATTCACTAATTAATAACTAAAATTTACTATAATTCAAAAAGAAAAAGTCATTCACTAATTCAAATATTATAATTTTATGAGAAGAATTTTATTACTTTTGAAAATAATTGAATTTCTGCAATTATTTGTAATTTCTGCGAAATTAATTTTTTTTTTAGTGTTTTCAATAAAAATTTGAAATAAAAATGTTTAAAATCTATTATTTTGAAAATTGCTACTTTTTTAAAAATTCTAAATTATTATTATAAATTAAATTATAAAAATAGCAAAAATAATACTATAATGGGGAAAAATTAAATGATGGAAAATTATTATTAAATTGTTTAAAATAAATTAAATTATATTATTATTTGGATGTTGCTAGGAAAATATAGGGTTTCGGGTTTATTTACTCGATACTAATATCAGAGCAAGTTTTGAATGTTTCTTGAGGTCCACAGCCAACTGCTTCATTTCCGTTTTCGCAAGTGCCCCAATTGTTCCCGGCTACATATTCCCATCTCAGAACACAATTTCTGCAAGTTATTCCTCTCGGGAGAATTACCTGAGATTTGTAAATTCCAGGAGGATTATCTCCCATTTCATATCGATCGGCGCCGTTTGCAAATTTCAGAGGAATAAAGCATTCTTCCGTTTCGAGTTCACGTGGATGTCGCAAAGGACACAAAGAAAATCTGAAGAAGCCCTTGTGAGTGTGTGTAAAATCACTCACAACGTCTATTATCTGCCCGTGTCTGTATCTGAAAACGAATCATTTTTATCATTATGAATTTTGCAATTTATTCTTTTGATTCTTAGTTTAATTGTAAATTTTTTTTTATTTATTCAAATTAGCTAAAAGTGTTAATTTTTATTTTAGCACTTTTTTTGGTATTAAATAGAATTTATTTTGATTCTTGAAGTGCGAAAAATAAATAGAGTCTAATCCTTTTCTTCAAAACTCTTCTTGAATATTTTTTATCTTACAAAAAACTAGTTGAAAAATAGAAAAGTTACAAGTTTGAATTTTTATAAAACAATAATTCAATTATTTTGAATTTTTCAATAAATTTGGCAAAAGAATTGAATTATTTTAATAAATTTCAACGCACGAATTCAATTCTTCAAAATTTTTAATAAAATTTCTCGCACGAATTCAACTATTTTCAATTTTCAAAAAAATTTCTCAAAAAAATTGAATTATTTTCAATGCAATTTTAATGAAATTCCTCGAATGAATTCAATTATTTTCAAATTTCAAATAAAATTTCTCAAAATAATTGAATTACTTTCAATGCAATTTTAATGAAATTTTTCAAAAGAATTAAATTATTCTTAAGAATTTTAATAAAATTCTTCGCATGAATTCAATTATTTTAACTTTTTTTTATATAAAATCCCTGGAATGAATTCAATTATTTTCAAATTTCCAATAAAATTTCTCGAATTAATTAAATTACTTTCAATGCCATAAAAAAATTTTTTTAGCACGAATTCAATTATTTTCAATTTTTCAATAAAATTTCTCAAAAGAATTGAATTATTTTCAATGCAATTTTAATGAAATTTTTGAAAAGAATTAAATTATTCTTAAGAATTTTAATAAAATTCTTCGCATGAATTCAATTATTTACAATTTTTTAATAAAAAAACGAATTTAATTATTTTCAATGCAATTTTAATAAAATTCTTCACACGAATTTCATTATTATCAATTTTTCAATTAAAATTTTTCAAAAGAATTAAATTAATTTCAATGCAATTTTAATGAAATTTTTCGTTTGAATTCAATTATTTTCAATTATTCAATAAAATATTTCTAAAGAATTGATTTATTTTCAAGGCAATTTTAAAAAAATTCGTTGCACCAATTTAATTATTTTCAATTTTTCAATAAAATTTCTCGAAAGAATTGAATTACTTTCAATGCAGTTTTAACAAAATCTATCGCACAAATCCAATTACTTTCAATTTTTCAATAAAATTTCTGGAAAGAATTGAATTATTTTAGTTGCAATTATAATAAAATTCTTCGTTTGAATTCAATTATTTTCAATTTTTCAATTAAATTTCTCGAAATAATTAAATTAATATCAATTTTCCAATAAAATTTTTTGAAAGAATTGAATTATTTTCAATTTTTCAATAATATTTTTTTAAAGAATTGAATTGTTTTCAATATTTTAATAAAAATTCCTCGAACGTATTCAATTATTTTCAATTTTTTAATAAAATTTCTCTTAAGAATTGAATTATTTTTAATGCAATTTTAATGAAATTTTTGCACGATTTTAATTATTTTCAATTTAAAAAAAAATGTACAAAAGAATTAAATTATTTCAAATAAAATTTTATAAATTTAAAGAATTGAATTCTTTTCAATGTAGATTTATTAAAATTCTTGTCACGAATTCAATTATTTTCAATTTTTTAGTAAAATTTCTCTAAAGAATTGAATTAATTTCAATTCAATTTTAATAAAATTCTTCGTTTGAATTCAATTATTTTCAATTTTTCAATAAAATATTTCTAAAAAATTAAAATTATTTTCAAGGCAATTTTAAAAAAATTCTTTGCACGAATTCAATTACTTTCAATTTTTCAATAAAATTCTCGAAAGAATTGAATTATTTTCAATTTTTCAATAAAATTTTTCAAAAGAATTGGATTATTTTCAATTTTTCAATAAATTTTTTTGAAAGAATTGAATTGTTTTCCATTTTTTAATAAAAATTCCTTAAACGAATTCAATTATTTTCAATTTTTTAATAAAATTTCTCTTAAGAATTGAATTATTTTCAAGACAATTTTAAAAAAGTTCTTTGCACGAATTCAATTATTCTAAATTTTTCAATCAAATTTCTGTAATGAAAATTGTTATCATTAATTGCAATTATAATAATTTAATGAATAATAACTAGTCATTTTCTACTAATTATTTGTTTTACGTTTTTTTTTTACTAACTGCTGAAGAAAAAAAATCAGCGAATAAATATTTTACTAACAGTTATTTTTAATCAATTCAACTTTAGAGAGTAGCTTTTTATATTTTAAAGAAAAGGAAGTATATTTAAATAAGAATATTATATTATTATGAATTTTATATTAAAATAGAATATTAACTACATTTAAAAATGTATGTCAACTGAGAGTATGAATTGTAACATCAATATTCATCAATAACAGGTTTTTAATATCATTTTTAAGAGTAATTATATTATTAAATTATAAAGAAATTGATTTTGAAAGAAAGTTTCTGCAATGATATTAAAATAACATGAATCATGTACTGAATAAATAACGAAATACTAAATAATTTGAAAGAAAAGGATTTATTTAAAACTTTCTGAAATAAAAAAAAAATTATTCTCTCACCTCTCGACTATGACTCCTAGTCCAAAAGTGCCAGTATTTTCGTTTGCTCGCGGTCTACTTTCTCCGAAACTGTCACCACAGACTCCACATCTTCCTCCGTACCAACCATGATGAACCTGAAGAATAAAAAAAAATTAATTGGTATTAATTAAATTATTGAAAATTAATTAATTAATTAATTAATTAATTAATTATATCTTCTGACAAACTAATCATGATGAAACCGAGGAATAAAAAAATTATTTATTAACTAATTTATTAATTAATTAATTCAATTATTAATAAAAATATTAAAATAATTTATTTAAATAATAATAATAAAAATAATTTATTTAGTACTTAATAAAATTCAATTATTAATTAATTAATTAATAAATTAATTAATTATATCTTCGGCCAAACCAACCATGATGAAAAGAAGGAATAAAAAAATGATTTATTAACTGAATTATTAATTAATTACTATCAATTATTACTTTACTTATTAATAAATACTGTTTATTAATTAAAATTAATTAATTAATATTATTAAAAAATTTTACTTATTTAAAACCCTTGAAAGTTAGCGTCGACGCTCAGATTAGAAACTTATTATTCGTGACTTTTCGAGATGTCACGAATGTCACCTTCTTTATTTCCCTAGGGAGTTAAAAAATTTCGCCAGAGTAAATTTTTAATTTAAAATCTTCAAAAAAAATTATTCTATTCTTTTCGGTTTCGTGAAAAAAATTTTTTTGACGCTCAGCGTCGACGCTAACTTTAGGGACGTAAAAAATTTATTAATTAATTAAATTTTACATAATTTTTTCTTTTTTCTTTTTTGAAATACTGATTTATTATTGAAATTTCTAATTTGATAATTAAAAAATGAATTAAAATTAAAATTATTTAAAATTAATTAATTAAAATTTAATAATTGTAATAAATTGCAGCAAATAAACTTACCCCAATACTTCCACAGTAATTTTGATCATCATCGTAAGAAACGGGCGTTTCGAAGCCTTTTCTCCAAGCGCTTGCCTATTTTTATAAAAAGAATATAAAAATACAATTTTTTTATTAATGTTAAAATTAAAATTGTAAGTAATTAATTTTAATTACGTTCGATTAATTAATAATTAAATAAATTAATAGTAAATATTGAATTTTTAAATATTTTTTAATAATAATTAATTTTCAAATTATACATAATTAATTTTAGTTACGTCAAATTAATTATCTAATAATTATGTAAATATTAATATTTTATTTTTTTTACAATAATTAATTTCTAATTTATGCGTTATTAATTTTAATTACGTTAAATTGATTAATAGTTAAAAGAACAATAAATACTAATATTAATTATTTTGTAAATAATTTCGGATAATTCAAATAAACATTAATTTTTTCTTATTGTATTTTTTAATAATAATATAGAATTTTTTTCATTACTTGCCCTATTTACTGGTTGCATCAATTTTCCATGACCGTAAATTTCAGAAATAAGAAAAACGGAAAATATTATCAAAATTTTTCTTAAATGCATTGTTTTGTTATTTTTTTATTATTACAAAAAAATTTTTAATAATAAAATTGTAAGAAAATCAATGAGAAATTGGGGTTTGATAATTTATTTTTTCATTTATATATACCAATAATGGTGGCAGGAAATAAGTTATATATTTGTTTATTTGACAAATAGAAACATGTGCGACTTACTTTTTCCCGAGATTTCTGTAAGAATATCAAAATAATCTCATTGTGTTTGATTCATGAATATTTCATTGCCAGATTTTTATGAGTTCAAAATTTAAAATACAAAAGTAATTATTGTTATTAGAGGACACTTTCGTTTCATTTATTTAATCACTTTTTTTCTCTCTTAAGATAACAAAAAAACAGTTGTGTATATTTATTATCTAAAAATATCAATTGTATGAGTAATTTATATTAATTATTATCAAAAACTTTCTTTATTTTTATACATCTTTCTATAAATTTAAAAATAATGAATAGAAGTATTAATATATTAAATGAATGTAAAATATATTAAAATAAATAAATTTTATACATTTTCTTTATAACTTTTTTTTAATTTTGTATCGTATTTAATTTTTTCAAAAAGAACATAAAGAGTATTTGTATATGCGTATATTATATTTAGTTTTTGAAAAATTACCCAATTTACAATTTTTTTTTAATTTAACAGCCAATTTTTGTATATGAAATAAGATGGTATAATTTTTGTTGCAGGTAATTTTCACCAGATCTGATTCACATGGATGACAGTGGCGCCCCTATCTAGGAGAAAATTCGTTGTAAGGAATTTTTATACAAACATCAGGTTTCTTTTCTTGTGAAGTTTTATTTTTTAAAATAATTTTTTCAAATAAAATTTTCAAAAAATCAAAGATTTTTAGATTTAGAGAAGAATTTATTAGTTAAAAATTCTAAAAAAATTAATTGAATTTAAGAAAAGTTGCAAACAATAGCCATTTTTAAAAATAATTGAATATTAAAAAGGTTTCAAATTAAAATCTTTCAAAATAAGAATTTTTATAGTTTTAATGAACAATTCAATTATTTTTATAAATAATCAAAATTTGGCAGAAATTTAATTACTTAAAAATGTTAAAATACAATTTGCATAATATTCTTCACTAAAAATTAATTATTTAGAATTTTTTTATAAAACTAATCGCAAGAATTCAATTATTTAAAAAAATTTAATAAAATTCTGGTTAAGAACTCAATTAATTTCATAAATATTAAAATTCTACTGAAAAATTCAATTATTCTTATAAATAATAAAATTATTTTTAGGAATTCAATTATTTAAAAATTTTAATAAAATTCTGCGCAAAAATTCAATTATTTTCAAGTAAATATTAAAATTATTATCAGGGATTCAATTATTCTTATAAATAATAAAATTCTTTTTATAGAAATTCAATTTGTTTATAAATAAGAAAATGCATCGAAGAAATTCAATTATTTTCGTTAATAATAAAACTCATCGCAGAAATTCAATTATTTTCAAAAATAACCAAATATTTCACTGAATTCAATTATTTAAAAATTTTTTTATTAAAATTCTTCGCCAAAAATTCAATTGTTTTTATAAATTCGGTTATTTTCAATTATTTTTTTAAATTCTTGTCAAGAATTGAATTATTTTTATAAATAGAAAAATTCGGCGCTGAAATTGAATGATTATCAAAAATTATAATAAATTTTTTCGTAAGAATTCAATTATTTTCGTAAGTAATAAAATTTTTCCCGAGAAATTCAATTATTTTCAAAATTTTCAATATTTTGAAATATTCAATTATTTCCACAAATAATATAATTTTTCTCAAAATTCAATTATTTTTCAAAATTTCATTAAAATTTTTCGAATAAATTCTAAAATTGTTTCGTAAAAATTCAATTATTTTAAAAAATATCTAATCAAATTCTTAACAAGAATTCAATTATCTCTCTAAATAACATATTTTTTCCCTGGAATTCAATTATTTTCAAAATTTTTAATACAATTTTACCCAAGAATTCAATTATTTTCAGAAATAATAAAATTTTTCACTGGAGTTAAATTATTTTCAAAATTAATAAATTTCTTCTTATAAATTCAATTATTTTTAGAAATTTTAATAAAATACTTTGCTGAATTCAATGGTTTTGAAAAATAATAATTTTCTTCCAAGAAATTTAATTATTTTCAGGAATTCAATTATTTTCAAAATTAATTAAATTCTTTCCCAGAAATTCAATTATTTAAAAATTTTTTTTCAATAATTACTATCAAGATTTCAATTATCTTTATAAATAGAAAAAATTCTACTCAGAAGTTCAATTATTTTTAAAAATTTAAATAATATTTTTCGTAAGAATTGAATTATCTTCGTGGTGAGTAATAAAATTCATTGCAGAATTGCAATTATTTTTAATGGAATTTTAATTAAATTTCTGTAAAAATGAAAGTATTCTTAAAATTTTTTTTAAATTTGTCATTCAATTAATCAATAAATTTTTATTTTTTTATTAAAATAATTGAATTCTCGTAAAAGTTTCCAGTAAAAATTGATTGAAAAATGAATTTTAATTAAAATATTAGATAATAATTGAATGTTAAAAGCATTTTAAAATAGAATTTTTGAATTATTTTTTAAAATTTGAATAAAATTTTTCAAAAGTTAATTTTTAATTTTTAAATTATGTAAATTAAATTTTTAATTTTTTAATTTTTGAAAATAATAATTTTTAGAGTGAATCAAAATATTCTTTAAGGAAAAAGTAAAAAATTTTCTATAGGGAAAGAAAATATAAATTTTCCTCTCAATTCTTAAAAAAAAATCTTTGATTTAAAAAATTTTTTTTTTAAGCTAATAATTAATTTTGATGTAAAATAAATTTTGAAAATGGTTATAATAGTATAATGTAAATAAGGGAATGTGAGGACGTAACTGGCTCGGGGAAAATACTCCCTTTGATAGAGATGTGTGTTAGTTTTGGGATCAAGATAAGTAAGTTGGAACATATCAATTACTATTCGCGGAAGCTGGTGGGCTTGTCGCTCTGCAAGACGAATGCACTTTAATTAAAAGCGTGACAGTGTAAGGAAACGGAAACGGAAAGCGTTCAAGAAAATAAGGAGCTCCACGAATCTCGAATTTCACTGTATGGGGTAAAAGGACACATTTTCCTCTCTGCTTTCTCAAATTCCTGGATTGTATAAATCATTCGCTTCTTGCATGTAAAATAATTAAATTTTATTCCGTTTTGTTTACATTCACGACTTTTTTAAATTCAGTAAATTAAAGTCTTCTTTTTAATGCTGTTCTCAAATTCCCCTTTAAAAAAAAAAAAAAAAAAAAAAAATCCATCTTTTTAAAACAATTTTATTGTTTTAAATTTGAATTGAATTTAACATTTGTTATAGAAAAACTTGTTAGGAACAGAAAATTAATTAACCTAATAACAGAAATTTGGAGTAATTATAATTCTCATTTGTATAAAAAAAAAAAAAAAACAATCCATCTTTTTAAAAACAATTTTATTGTTTTAAATTTAAATTGAATTTAACTTTTCTTATAGAAAAAATTGTTAGTAAAAGAAAATTAATTAATTTAAAAACAGAAATATGAAGTAATTATAATTCTCATTTGAATTAAAAAAAATCCGCCTTTTCAAAATAATTTTATTGTTTTAAATTTATATTAAATTTGAATTTTTTTTATAGAAAAACTTGTTAGTAACAGAAAATTAATTAACCTGAAAACAGAAATTTGGAGTAATTATAATTCTCAATTGAATGAAATAAAAAAAAAATCCCCGAATAGAAATAAGGAAAAAAGAGTGACGCATTTATTTTTATGTAACGTATGACATTTATTTCTTTCTTAAATCGAGATATAGGCGCAGATATACAGAAAACATATGTTTTTTTTTTATTTTATTTTTTGACGGTACATTCTTTTTTGCACGAAATGTCAATTTTTCTTTGTCGAATACATCAAAAATTCAAAACATTATTATATTATTTGCTATAGTAATAAATCAATAGAATATGACTATAAAAATAATCACAGCTCAAATATTTTATATAAACCACCTTTTTTTTTTTTGCTCCGCAATTATTATTTTAATTCGAATGAAATAAAAACTTTACAAAGAAATAAAGAATAAGAGTATTGCTAAGATTTAATACTATTAACATTAACAATAATAATTGCAGAACTTTATATAACAATATAATTATTTGGGACATAAAAATCATTTCTAATCAAACTATTAAAAAAAAAAAAAAAAAAAAAAAAAAAAAAAAAAAAAAAAAAAAAATAGACTTGACAAAATTGAAAGTAGAAAAAATTAAAATTTTAAAAATATATTAAAACTAAAAAAGCTAGAAATTAAAAAAATTGAAACTAGAAAAAATTAAAACTTAAAAAATATTGAAACTGAAAAAAGTTAGAAATTAGAAAAATTGAAACTAAAAAAGTTAGAAATTAGAAAAACTGAAACTAAAAAAGTTAGAGATTACAAAAATTGAAACTAAAAAAAAGTAGAAATTAAAAAACGAAAAGTAAAAAAAAAATTAAAAAAAAGAATTAAAAAATCTAAAACTGAACAAACACAAATTATTAAAAATTAAAAATTAAATTATGCCGGATACAGATAATTAATAAATTAAGGATAACTTTTAATAAAAAAAAAGAACAAAATATTTTTAAACTTCGATCAAATGGTATGACGCAAGTTGATGAAATTTAATATCACACAACACGATTTTTAGCATTTAAACATTTGTTTTACGTAATTGATGAGTAAACAAATTTTTTTTTGACAATTTTTCTCTGTAATTATTTATATTTTTAGTAATCATCATCATCATCATTTTTTTTTTTTTTTTTTTTTCCATTGAAATGTACCTTTTGAGTTTTGATCAATATCGGATATATAATTAAAATAAATAACAGTCTCATCATTATATACACACTGACTTTTTAAACACTCAAGTGTTTTCGATTTAAAATTCATTATTACATTAATCGACCTGATATGCCACATATGTTTAATTGCATTTTTTAACATTTAATCCCAATGCACACATATAACGTGTCCGAGAAATGACAAACATCTTTTTATATCTTTTTAATTGTTGTAAAAAAAACACATTGAAAAAAAACCGATTTATTTATTTTTAAATAAATACGGCGTTGCTTTTATTGTTATTCTTTCTTTAAACCCAAACAGTGATTGTCAATTAAAATTTTAAATTAATAATATCTTGATTGTAATAGACACATTTTCAAAATTTTAAAATTAGTTTTATTCTAAAGTAGAGTTATAAATAAGATAATTAATTACTGTTTTTAATAAAAATAGTCTATTTTAATTGATTTTAATTGGTTTTAAAAAATCACATGATTTGAAATGGAAATATTTTCGCGCTACATCTACGTCACGCGTATGACGTCACAAGTTGGCTGCAAAACTAATGTAACATGCAAAATGTCAGATTCAGAGGTAAAAATTAGACAAAGCATTTCGAAACGTTGGTGTTTTGTGCCTGGATGCACAAATACAAATTTAAAAACACCAAATAAATTATTTATTTGTGTTCCGAAAGGAAACGAAAGAAAAAAATGGATGAAAGTAGTGAGGCGAGATCCAAACGAATGTTCTTTAACATCAGTAATGTTTTGTTGTGAAGACCATTTCACAGTAAGTATATATTTTTGCGTTAATTACTTTTAGGTTTAAAAACATTTCTAAAAAATGTGATAGTTAATATATTTATATAAAGTTTATAATAAGAAAGTTAAAGAGATTCCTAACCTAAAATTATGTTATATTATATTGTGTATTGATGATGTCAACAATCAATTATATTTAATTACATTCTATTTTTACCATTCATAAATATAATTAATTTGAAAATATATACCGAAAGAAAGTAATGCAAATATTTTATACAGTTGCAGGATGATTTAGAAAATTACATGAGAGTAAAATTGGATCCAACCTCGAGAATTTTACTTAAAAAAGGAGTAGTGCCGCATATTTTTGATTGTCAAGAGGATCGTCAACGAGCATTTTCTAAACCTAAAAGACGAGCAATTTGCAAGCTTACTAATGTAAGAAATTTAAATGAAATGGAACAGGAGATGGCTAGAGAAAATTTTGAAGTCGAATCTGTGGTCAATGATAAGAACTTGCTTTCTCTGGAAAATGAGGAAACTGAACAAAATGTAGTTAATGAAAAAAATGAGTTTCTTGCACAATTTAATGTAAATAATATCACTGAAAAAAAAGATTGCGGTGTTCAGACATTGCAAATTCAAAAACCATATTATCGCAGTAAAGGCACTTCCTGTTGTCCAAAAACAAAAAATGTGGCATGTTCACCTATTAAACAGTTAAATAAGCAGACTTTAAATAATAATAATATAAGTTTAGATTCACGGAATTGTGAACAAACCTCTGAGCCTGATTTACAAATAAATTCAACTATAAGTAGCACTAGTTCTATTTTATGTTCGTCTTGTGCATCAACAAGAAATTCGGATATAACGTACATTCCTGATAACGAAGAACTAAGTAGAGAAGAATCTGCGTTCTTAGACTGTGAAAAAAAGGAATTATATCAAAAAGTAAAAATGATGCAAATTATGGATCATCCGAAACTTTTCATGTGCATACCAACAGAAGCTATTTATATATTGAAATTGTTAAGCGATGAGACTAAAATTAATATTAAAAATATTTGCATCGTATTAACAAAAATGAAGACCAATGATTCTTTTGAGAGGATAGGAATTGAATTCGGACTAAGTACTTCTGAAGCAAATAAAATTTTCCGACAAAGTGTACCTCTATTAGCAAATTGTTGTAAACAATTAATTATATGGCCAGACAAAGAAAAAATAAAAGCTCTTTTGCCAATAGCTTTTCGATCTAGATATAGCAATGTTCAAAGCCTCCTTGATTGTTTTGAAATTTCGACTCAGAAACCCAGTAATCCAGTTCATCAAGCTCTTACGTATTCCGAATACAAAAAAGGCAATACAGCAAAATATCTTATTTCATCAACTCCGGATGGCCTTATAAATTTTATATCAGAAGGTTTTGGAGGAAGAACATCGGACGTATTGATAGTAGAAAAATCGAATTTTTTAAATGCCTTGCCACCAAACTCGGCAGTTATGGCTGACAGAGGTTTTAAATTTATTGATAAATTTCTACAAACAAAAAACTGTACTTTGGTACGTCCACCTAGTGTTAGTGCTAACAAAAAATCATCTAAAGAACAAGTAATTGAAACTAGAAGAATTGCAAGTTTGAGAATTCACATAGAGCGTGTTATTTGCAGAATAAGATATTTCGAAATATTCAAGCCTCATGCTTGCATTCCTATTGAAACTTTGGATATCATTGACCAAATGCTTGTAATTGCAGTTAGCATAATAAATCTTCATGCAGTCGTTATAAGGCAATAAATCGCAAAGTAAATTTTGTTGTCCTTTTTTAATATAAGTAATATTTGTTAAAAGATCGTAATACATTACGAATTTAAAAATACTAAAATTATAGAAACACAAATATTCTTTTAAAAAGTAAAAAATACGGCATTTAATTTATTCACTTAAAAAGTAATTTACATTTATGTAATGTATTGAAATAAAATATACATTAGTAACATGTTATAAATATTTTTTGCTTCTCCTAACAACAAATACCTAGTTGTATAAAACAATCGAATTTTTTCAAATAATTTATGTAAATCTTCATTTTATTTCTCAATAAATTCGTTATTTCTCGATAGACTCAAAAAGCACTGGAAAAATATTTTTTTTCCAAAATGTCATGGCCTCCATTATGATTTTTTTAATATATTTTTCATTATAATTTATCACATTAATGGAAACGTTTTTGGAAGTTTCGAAGTCATGATTTGCCATGCAAAAATACCCTTTCACTTTTTTCGCCATTAACATTTGCAATTGTATCTGAGCTAAGTACTTGTCATTGATTTTATGTTTTTTTGAAATATAACGATATTCGGCTTTTTCTGACATCGGACATTTAACCTCTACAACGAAGTTTTCTCCTATTCCATCAGGAGAAGCTCCAATTGCTGGATATTTATCATTTAATAGCAATCCACATTTTTCTACTTTTATGTTTTCAGTTTCTTCTAAAACTCTAAGAACTTGATTCTCTAATCTTCGACCTCTCTCCATAGCTTCATTATCTCTCAGTTTCGACACTCCCATTATCCTATTTGTTAATGATCCATCGACAGTTTTACATTTAGAAGCTTCGTGAATATTTGAAGCAGTTATCCTACCATATCTAAGTTCAAACCATAAAGTCGAATTGCTTTGATCCCTCGTTAGTTTTTCTACTAAATCAATTAAATTTGCATCCAGAATATTTTGTGCAAAATCTACAAATTTCAAAACATTTTTATCATTTTTTTGGGAAAAAAAATTTATCATTAAATGATGCATTGATGCAGTTTTCTCGAGATTTGTAGGCAAAAAATATCTGGATAGCTGACAGTCATGATTATGTCCTTTCATTTGCTCTACTACTTTATTTAGAAAACTATTGTCACTTTGAAAATCAATATTTTTTGGTTTCTTTATGTCTGTTAGTCTTAAATATTTTAAACTCATGACTGCATTTGATAAAGTAGGTTTTTTCCAATAACAAATAGTGGATGTAGGAGAAGGTTCTTCACTTCGACGATGCAGCCACATGAGAAAAGCAATGCCATGCTTGCAGCCACCTAAAATATAATTGCAGAATAAAATGAGTCTAAAAAATTACTTTTCTCAATATTAATAACTAAAGAATTTATGTCAGCACTGCAAATGTGCAAAAAGGAATTATAAAAATATATTTTTCTAATGGTATAGTTATTACCTGCCGATGCTGCGCAATCATGACATTCGACTTTTTTAATTTTTTCGTTTTTTTCATCCACTGTCACGGATACCACATACGGTTTGTTTCGTACCCTATGTTCAGGACAAATTTTCCCTCGAACAATGCAAGAGGACCTATTTCTGCTAAGTTCTACATAACCAATTGCCTGGTCTCCATATTCTTCACGTTCGGATCTGTATATATTATAAATATTATATTATAAAAGTAATTAAATTAACAGAGGTTTATATAAATTAAATATCTAAATAATAATGAATGGCTTTTATTTTAATTAAACATAAATAGCACTTTAATAAATTAAACAATAGCAGGTAAAAAAATATATTTTTATTAACTTAGAGGTTATGTTACTTTATTTTGATTTTGTTTTTTCAAATGAATGTTTTTAGTGTATAGTAAAATGAATAAATACTTTTTAAAAACAATAGAAATTAAAGATATCCTATTAAAATAAATTATTATTAAATAAATAAATTATTGAAAATAATAATTAAGATTTATAAAAGATATATTACTTACTTTTTTGCTTTAACTCCACGAGTTTCTGCTGCATTAAAAAAATCACTCTCAATAAAAAAGTCACTGACCATTAAAACAGTCACTTTGGGCAAATTATCTGATCCAGCTTTTATATATTCAGTCATATTTTAATCAATAATTATTTTTTTTTAAACAAACATCAAAATGTACAACAAACTCAATGTTGTGACAGTTTGCAGCCAACTTGTGACGTCATACCCGCATCAGCCAATATGAAGCCGTACAAAATCACGTGACTTTTACATTGTTATTTATGCTTCTTTTTTTATTAATTATAATTAATTCAATGAACAAAATATGTTTTAAACCATTTAATATAAATCTACATTAATTAAAGTTTATTATAAAAAATTAATTTCAAAAAAAAAATTTTTGAGAAATGAGTCTATTGTGAAAATTATTTCGCAATTTTACTATTTTTTGGGTTTTTGATTGTGAACTGATTTTTTTGTTTCTTTGAATAGAAGGGGAAATTATTTACAAATATTGAGTCTCTGAAGTTAGCGTCATCGATGCTCAGCGTAAAAATAAATTTCTTTCTGTAAAAATAGAGGAAAAAGAAATTTTTTTCACCATATACAATTGTTTTTTATACTATTTTTACTATTTTTACTACTAATTTTACTATATTTTTACTAATTCGATACTATTTTTAAAAATAAATTACGAACGAATTGAGATTCAAAATGGAGACGCTATTCTCCACCTGAGAACGCCAAGGTCACCGCTAGATGGCGTCTAGCCATCTAGCGTTGACCTTGGCGTTCTCAAGTGGAGAAATTCAACCATTTTATCAACTTTTTTCAATTAAAAAATGTTAATCTGAGAATATTTAATTTTTCTTTCTGTTAAAACTTTGATTAAATTTTTTATTTCCCATTAAAATTAAAAAGAAATATTTTAGAAAAATTTTTTTTTTTTTAGAATTTGAGAAAAAGAGTTTAGAAAACAGCTTTTTAGTTTCTAACGGAAAGAAGTTTTTATAAATAAAATATTTTTTTAAAATTCACTTTAAAACGATTTGGTACGATTTAATACGTAATTTGAATTCCTCAACAGAATTGAATTATTTCCAGTACAATTTTAATATAATTCCTCAAAAGAATATTGAATTATTTCTAGTACAATTCCCTTAAATTCTTCACAAAATTCAATTATTTTTCGAAGATTTTAATAACATTTCTGGAAAGAATTCAATTATTTTCAATTCAAATTTCAAATTTTATTCTTCAAAAGAACTTAATAATTTTTCGTAAACTAATAAATTTTTTTTTAAGAATTCAATTCTATACAGTACATCTTTTCAATTAAATTAGGTACTAAAAAAAAATTCAATTATTTTTCGAAAATATTAATAAAATTTCTGCAAAGAATTCAATTCTTTAAAATACAATTTTAATTCTCAAAAGAATTCAATTATTTTTTTTCGAAAATATTGATAAAATTTCTGGAAAGAATTCAATGATTTTCAATACAATTTCAATGAAATTTCTCAGAATTCAATTATTTTTCAAAAATATTAATAAAATTTTAGGCAAAGAATTCAATTATTTTCATTAAAATTTTAATTCGCAAAATAATTCAATTATTTTTCGAAAATATTAAATAAAATTTCATTACTCAAAACAATTGAATTATTTTCGACACAATTTCAATTTAATTCTTTTAAAGAATTTAATTATTTTCTATAAATATTAATAAAATTTAGGCAAAGAATTCAATTATTTTCATTAAATATTAATAAAATTTAGGCAAAGAATTCAATTATTTTCATTAAAATTTTAATTCGCAAAATAATTTAATTATTTTTCAAAAATATTAATAAAATTTTAAATTTCAAAAGAAATCAATTATTTTTTGAAAATATTAATAAAATTTTTGGAAAGAATTGAATTATTTTCAGTTCAATTTTAATTCTCAGAAGAATTTAATAATTATTTGAAAATATAAATACAATTTCTTGAAAGAATTCAATTATTTTCAACATAATTTTAATTGAATTCCTTAAAAGAATTCCATTATTTTCAATGCAATTTCAATGAAATTTCTCTAAAGAATTCAATTATTTTTCGAAAATATTAATAAAATTTTAATTCTCAAGAGAATTCAATTACTTTTTGAAAATATTAATAAAATTTCTGGAAAGAATTGATTTATTTTCAGTTTAATTTCAATTCTCAGAAGAATTCAATTATTTTTCGAAAATATTAATAAAATTTCTGGAAATAATTGAATTATTTTCACTACAATTTATATTATATTCCTCAAAGAATTCAATTATTTCCCAAAAAAATGTCAATTAAATTCCTGAAAAAAAAATTCAATTATTTTCGACACAATTTCAATTAAATTATTTCAAAGAATTTCATTAATTTTTAAAATTTGAATAAAATTCATAACTTAATCAATAAAATAAAAAAAAAGTACAAGGAAATATTTATTTTTTACCCTGAGCGTCGACGCCAACTTCAGAAATAAAAAAATATTTGCAAATGATTGAAAAAATAATTGAATGAAATTGAATGAAAAATAAAAAAAAAAGAGTAATTAGTTTTTATATTTGTGTTTCGAAAAAATGAATTTTCCTGTCGATTCATTTTGATGTAGGTAAAAAAACATTTGGTCAAGCTATACAAAATACATTGTACATATACAACACGACGCTCTATATTTTAAATAGAACTTCAATTTCAGAATATTAATAAATTAAATACTATTTAGAGTTTTTTTTTCTTTCAATAAAAATTATGTATTTACATATATAGTTGTGGATAGTTATTGATGAAATGAAATAATTAAGGAGATGAATATTAAGGTTTTGGAAAATCTATAAAAATTAATTTTTAAAATATCTTCTGTAAAGATAAAATTAATTTCCATTTATAGAAATTAATTTTTAACTTTTAAAATATTTTCTTTTCTATAAACGAAACTAAAATATAATTGTTAGAATTTGAATGAGAGTTAGAGTAGAAAATTGTCTTTTTTTATAGATCTTTGTTTTTTTTTTGTTATAAATAATTGCTCTGTAAATCCGAATTCTATTTTTCTAATTCTAATAATCTTTTATTCTTCAGATTGGAATGTCGTTTACTTATTTCCTTTGTCAAATTTCCGACAAACGACCCGTTTGATGGTGTCACTGAAAGTGAGGTGGAAAATTCACTTCCATTCTCTCTAGTCTGAAACAGAAATTAAATGGGATTTTTTTTTTTTATTTAAATTAACAACTGTCAATTTACACAAATTTAGAGAAGTAATTGTTAATTAGCCCAGTTATTTTTTTTTTAACTCCGGTTTCTGAGTTATCGCATTTATTCGGTGGTGGTGGTTGAAATTAAATTGTCGAAGATTGAATGGAACAAAATTTCCATTCTTATGATTTTTTTACGAAACGGTGAGATGAATTTTTTTTCACAATTTATTTATAAATTTGGTTTATTCAATTTTTATTAAATATAGAGACAGGAAGAGGATTTTTCTCCTTTTGTTCGATTTTATTTTTGCTGACCTCGGATACTAGATTTTTTTCATCTTTTTTCATCAATTTTCAAACAATGCGACTTTATTTAAAAATAGCATAACTAATGATTCATTAAAAAATATATAATTATAATTTATAAGAATTTTCAAGCCCGTTGTTAGTTATAAAAACAATTTTTTAGAAATTTAGTGAAAAATATTTTTTTAAATATAATAATTTTTTGAAATATAATTTTTCAAAAATACAATTAATTAATCATTACAATTAATTAATTCAATTAATCAATTAATCAATTATTTTTCGAAATTTTAACTAAAATTCTTTTTAAATCAATTCTTATTAAAATTCAAGGATAAATTAATTATTGAAATAAGCAAATTTTTGTAAAATTCAATTATTTTCCAAATCTTTAGTTTCAATTCGCTTAAAAAATACAATAATATTAAAAAATAATTTTTTAAAGTGATAAAATTCTTTGAAATATAAAACTACTATCACAATAAAAAATAACATTCTTTACATAAATTATTAAAAAATTCAATTATATTGAAAATTTTAGGAATGAATTATTTTTAATCACTAAAGAATTCAATTATTTTAAAAAATTTTAATACAATTCCGGGCAAGAATTCAATTATCTTCATAAATAACAAAAATTTTGGAGAAATTCAATTATTTTCAAAAATTTAAAAAGAATTCTGGTCCAGAATTAAATTATCTTCATAACTAAAGAACTATTTCACAGAAATTCAATTATTTTCGTAACTAACAAAATTCTTCGGAAGAATTCAATTATTTTCAAAAATTTGGATTAAAATTTTTAAAAAAATTTTTATTATTTTTATGAATTTTTTTTATAATTCTTCGAAATAAATTCAATTATTGCCAAAAAATTTAATAAATAAATAGGTAAAATTCTTAATAAAGAGTTCAATTATCTCAATTAATAACAAATATTAATAAAATTATTGTCAATAATTCAATTATATAATAAAATTTGTAAAAATTAAAATTCAATTGTTTCGAAAAAAAAAATTAATTCTTTCTAGGAATTTAATTAAAATTGTACTGAAAGTAATTCAATTCTTCTAATTTTATCTAAAATTTTGGAAAAGGATCGATTTATGATTGATTTATGCAATAAATTGAATTAAAATTTTACTGTAAATAATTAAAATACTGTGAAAACTTGTGAAAGAATATTAAATTCTTGGAAATTTTTTTTTTAATTAGCATTGAAAGTAATTGAATTTTTATGAACAATTCAATTATTTACGAAAAAAATTTAATTCTTGTCAAAAATTTGTTTAAATTTTTTTTAAATAATTGAATTCCAGAGGAGAATTTTTTAATTTATCAAGATAATTGAATTAGTGATAAAAATTGTATTATTTATGAAAGTAATTGAATTCTTACAACAATTTTGATTGTTTATAAAAATAATTGAATTCTTACAATGAATTTTACTGAATTTTTTTTTTAATAATTGAATTTCTCAGAAGAATTTTATTATTTATGAAAATAATTGAATTTATCCGAAGATTTTTATGACAATTCTTCAAAATAATTGAATTTTTGAGAAGAGTTTTATTATTTTAAAAAGTAATTGAATTCTTGTTTAAAATCATATTGGAAATTTTTGAAAATAATTGAATTCTTGTCAAGGATATGATTAGATTTTTTAAAATTAATTGAATTCTTACGAAATTTTATTACAATTTCTCAAAATCATTGAATTTCTGCTAAAACTTTTATTTTTTATGAAAATAATTGAATTCTTGTAACGATTTTTATTGGTTATAAAAATAATTGAATTCTTACGAAGAATTTTATTAAAATTTATTAAATTAATAGAAGTTTTACTAAGAATTTTATTTTCTATAAAGATAATTAAAATCTTGACAAGAATTTGATTAAAATTGTTGAAAATAATAGAATTCTTTGATACAATTAAATTATAATTGTTCTGAATGTAATAATTCCTTAAAAGAATTCAATTATTTTCAATACAATTTCAATGAAAATTCTCAGAAGAATTCAATTATTTTTTGAAAATATTAGTCAAATATAGTCAACAAATTCAATTATTTTCAATACAATTTCAATTCTTAAAAGAATTCAATTATTTTCATTTCAATTTCAATTCTCAGAAAAATCAATTATTTTTCAAAAATATTAATAAAATTGCTGGAAAGAATTCAATTATTTTCAATACAATTTCAATTTTCAAAAGAATTTAATTTTTTGCAATTCAATTGCAATTCTTAGAAGAATTCAATTATTTTTCCAAAATATTAATAAAATTTCTTGAACGAATTTATACAATTTATATTATATTCCTCAAAGAATTCAATTATTTCCAATAAAATGTCAATTAAATTCCTCAAAAAAATTCAATTATTTTCGACACAATTTTATTTCTCAAAATTTCTCAAAATAATTGAATTTCTGCTAGAACTTTTATTATTTCTGAAAATAATTGAATTCTTGTAACGATTTTTATTGGTTATAAAAATAATTGAATTCTTACGTTGAATTTTATTAAAATTTATTAAATTAATAGAAGTTGTACTAAAAATTTTATTTTTTATAATGGTAATTGAAATCTTGCCATGAATTTTATTAAAATTGTTGAAAATAATTTAATTCTTTGAAAGAATTGATAATTATAATTGTATTGAAAGTAATTTAATTCTTATATAGAGAATTTTATGGAAATTGTTGAAAATAATTGAATTCTTTGAAAGAATTTCACTAAAATTTTTAATAATAATTTAATAATTTAATAATAATACATTTTTTCAGAGTTCTTTCATTTTTGGTTAATAAATAGATATTTGAATATTTATTGTTATTTATTATATTTATTTTATAAAATCTATTGGTTTTTAGTTTTTTACTAATTAAATTTAAAAATCAGTGAAACATGAAAAATTAAGTTAAAAAAAATTTTTTTTTAATTAAATTAAAAATTAAATTATTAAATACAAAATTGAATTTTTGTGACAACAGTGAATAAATAAAATCAGCAAATTTTTCTTATATCTTCAAATTGACAAAAGCAATTTTTTTTTTGCTCCAGATTCGAAGTTCGTTTTTTCCGAAACTGTTTCATTTGAATTTAGTGTCGTTTGTCTGTTTAAGAGATTTAAATGAAATTAAACAAAAGCTTGGGTTTGAATTTAAAGTGTTGCTCTTTAGTGAACAGGATCTACTTCTGGAGAAGAAGTTTCGCAATCAAACCAAAGATCACGTAAGGGAACAAGTAGGAAAAACCATCCATCTCCCACTTCCGGCAATAGAGGTAACTCTTTACCACAGTCAGGACACGTTTTCGTCAACGACAGTGGATATCTAAAATTGCTGCACGTTCCCTCAACCCAAAAGTCTGAAAGCTTTTTTAAGAGTCTTTCCAAGTAGAGTAATTAGGTACTTTTTTATTGTTTCAACAAAAAAAAAAAAAAGGAAAACATTCCTCTCCAGAGTTTAGTCATTTTTCATAATATGTCGCGCCTGGATTTTCTTCTTTCTCTTTTGTTTTCAAAATCAAAATCAACACAAATTTTTCTAGTGATATTAAATTGAGACAAAAAACGTATTAAAATTGTTGCAACAATTTTGATACATTTTTTGTCTCAATTGAATATTCTTAGAAAAGCTGTGACAAAGAAAACAAAATTAATTCTTTTTTGCGATGCAACAATTTTGATACGTTTTCTTGTCTCAATTTTGATATTCTTAGAAAAGCTGTGACAAAAAAAAAATGAAAATTCATTAATGAAACAATTTCTTTCTTTTAAACATATTATCCAATTGGCTCTGAAGTAATTAAATTGAAATTTCAAGTTTCTTGATATATTTTCTACACTGTGTGAATTTTGTTTTGTGTACCTGCATGAGGGGGTTTTAAGAAAACTTTTATTTACAATACAGAAAAGTATCTCTCGAAAAGTTTTCTGGGTAACTAAAGAAGAGTTTGTTTGTAGAGAAATGGAAAAGATTCTTTTTCAACGTTACTTTTCTGAATATAGTTCTTCTTTTCTATCTTCGACAAAATGCGATACTTTAAATCCTCGGAAGTTTAAATTTCTTTTCTGCTTTTCGATTTTTCGAGACAAAACAAATCGTTTATACCCCCAAAGAAAGAAATACGGTGTTTTCTGCTCCCTTAGAAAAGACTCTTTTAAGAATTATTATTTGTCATTTATTTTCACTGTTTAATTCAGTTTTTACGATGTGAATTTAATTTAATTTAATACAGAATTTAATTTTGTATAATTTTTAAAATATTCTAGAATTAAGTCAAAATAATTCTTATTGGATATTTTTAAATACAACACTATTTTAAAAATAGAGTTGCAATCTGACAGTTTCGACTGTATTTAAAAAATTTTTTTAGATTTGTGACACTAAAGGCTACTTTTACCTTATTTTGATTATTTATATGGTAAAATTCTTCCACAGAATTTAATTATTTTCAAAATATTTCCATAAAATTCTCTGTAAGAATTCAATTAATTTCAAAAATTTCCATAAAATTCTCTATAACAATTTAATTATTTTCAAAAATTTCCATAAAATTCTCAAATAAAAATACAATTATAATTTTTACAATTATAAAAATAAAATAAAATTTATTTTCAAATAAAAATTAAATTATTTTCAATACAATTATAATTTAATTCCTTGAAAGAATTCCTTTATTTTCAATATTTTTAATTAAATTCTTGACAAGATTTCAATTATCTTTATAAAAAATAAAATTCTTAGTACAACTTTTATTAATTTGATAAATTTTAATAAAATTCTTCGTAAAAATTCAATTATTTTTATAACCAATAAAAATCATTACAAAAATTCATTTATTTTCATAAATAATAAAATTTTTAGAATGAAATTAAATTATTTTGAAAAATTCTAATACAATTTCGTAAGAATTCAATTATTTTAAAAAAAAATCTAATCAAATTCTTGACAAGAATTTAATTATCTTTCTAAATAACAATTTTTTCCTCAGAAATTCAATTGTTTTCAAAATTTTCAATAAAATCTTAAGCTTGAATTCAATTACAGTTTTAATAAAACTGTTCTTAAAAATTCCATTATTTTTAAGAACTGTAATAAAACTTTTCGGAAGGATTCAATTATTTTCACAAATAATAAAATTTATTACGCGAATTCAATTATTTTTTAAAAATTTTATTAAAATTCTTCTTATAAATTCAATTATTTTCATAAATATGAAAATTCATCTCAGGAATTCAATTATTAAAAAAAATTTCAGTAAAATTCTTCATAAGAATTCTTTTTTTGTTTATAAACAATAAAAATCGTTATAAGAATACAATTATTTTCATAAATAATAAAATTTTTATCAGGAATTTAATTATTTTCACAAATAATAAATATTTTTACGGGAATTCAATTATTTTTTTAAATTTCATTAAAATTCTTCTTGTAAATTAAATTATTTTTATAAACAATAAAAATCGTTGCAAGAATTCAATTATACTTTTATAAATAATAAATTATTTTATTAGAAATTCAATTATTTTGAGAAATTCTAATAAAAATTTTCGTAAGAATTCAATTATTTAAGAAAAAAAATGTTATTAACTTCTTGTAAAGAATTTATTATTATTCTCAAAATTTCAATTATTATTTTGATAAATTGGAATAAAACTCTTTGGATGTAATCAATTATTTCCACACGTAATAAAACTTTTTCTGGGAATTCAATTAATTTTTCAAAATTTTTATTAAAATTCTTCGGATAAATTCTTTTAATTCTTATTTATTTATTCTTTCAAATTTTATTAAAATTCCGAAAAATAATTGATTTCTATAAACAATTTTTTTCTACAATTATATCAAAAAGTGATTGAATTCAATTATTTTCAAAAAAATTTTACTCGCAGTTACAAGTATTAAGAAATTTTTCAATTTTTTAATAAGAATTTTAAGATTTTTTAATTAATTTTAAATGTTTTGGAAAAAATTGAATTTTTTTCATTTAAATAATTGAATTTTAGAAAAATTTTCCAAAAAGTTATTAAAAATAACTGACAATTGATTTAGGGAAAAACTTTAGTAAGAATTGTGAAAAATAATTGAATTTTGGATGAATTGCAATTGTATTTTTTTTTTAAATAATAGATTTTTAAAAGGAATCAAATTGATAATAATTAAAAATTGATTTGGAGATAAAATTTGAATATTTATTTTAAAAACTTGTTAATTTATCATTCGTCTTAACAATTATTTGACGTTTTGAGTAATTTTATTTAAAAATTCTGTAAAATAATTGAATTCTGAAAGAATTGCAGTTGTAATTTTTCTCGAAAAATCGTTATAATTTTCAAAAAGGTTTGAAATTTAATTTCAATAGTTTTGTGTTTTAAAAAGAAATCATTTTAAATATTTTAATTCCTGTGGAAAAACAAAAAGTATTTGAATATTTATTTTAATTAAAATTATTCAAGTTTTGAATGCAATTTAATTTTAGAAATTATGAAAAAAATTAGTCAAATTTCAAGAAGGTTTGAAATTTAATTTCAAAAAGGTTTCAGTTTTCAAAAAGGTTTACATTGAAATCATTTATAAAATATTTTAATTTCTGTGGAAAAATAAAAAGTACTATTTAAATATATTTATTTTTAAAAAATCATTCAAGTTTGTAATGGAATTTAAATTTAGAAATTAGGAAAAAAATTCGTCTTTTGAAAAATTGTAATTAAAAATTGTTTCAAGATAGTAGAAGAATTTCCTACTTTTTGCCACTTTTTTCAAAATAAATCCACGAGTGTACGAATAAAAGCTTAAATTTAAATTGAATTTAAAAAAATTGAAAACTTGTATGAAGCATATAATTTTTGAAATCAAAATTTTGACCCACTTTACTTTTACTGTAGTCTTGTGAAGACGAGTTCAGTCTCAGATCCTCCAATTGATGCTCCAGAGGATCAGAGGGTAAGATTTCAACGCTTCGCGTCTTATTGGACGGACTCCCGTCTTTTTTCCATGCATAAATTGGCGATTCGATAGAAGAACGCAGTTGACTAGCCGGATGATCTGGATCCACTGATCTGCACGAAGAGAAGAAATAAAAAAATAAAATTTGTAAATTTTGAAACGCCAGCGTCGTCATCAAAAAGTTTAACACTGGAATAAAATTAGATATTAAACAAATATATATTCTCTGAAGATTCCAGTGAAAATTGAATCAAATTCCACTTAAAGTTTTCGTATGTAACATTAAAGGGTCGTAATCTATAATCCTCTTTGAATACAGTTGGCAAACTTAATTTTCCAATAAAGAAGAAGGTTCAAAGGACCAGAACACTTGAAGGGGATGAAACTAAATTCAAAAGACCGAGACATAAAGGATTAAATACGCTGTAAATAATTCTACGTGCAAGGCTAAATTTAACAGCATCAACTTCTTTGTCTAATCCTCTTTTGCAACAAAATGCCCCCACCAAACTCAAGAGGATTACGTTTACTTTACTGAGATAAGAAATGACCCTTTTTAATCATTGTTTTCATAAAGAGGACACACATTCATATTAATTTTAATTAAGCCAGATATATGCTTGATATTATATTATTATAATTTCTCTTCCTCTTGGTTACTTGGCTTTCGCAGTGATAATAACTTGAATTATTCTCTAACCTGAAACTATTTTGACTGATGGGAGGAGTCTCTTCTATGTCATTTTTCCTCCACTCGTTATTATTATACTTTGAAGAAGACACTGCCGAGACGGCGATAAAGGCATTTTTTGGCTTAGCTGAACCTTCCATGGAAGAGCCCGCTTTTGTCATTGGCATTGCCGTCACTCTGATAAAAGAATTTTATTCAGATTATAGTTTCATTTTCTCTCAGCGTTAATCATTCATTTTTTATTAAAGGTGGAAAATGTTAGCAATTAATTTTTTTATTTTTGTTTTCTATACAGTCAATCATCCTAAGACTTCCGGAAATAATTGGTCGTCATCAATTTTTTTTTGAAAATTCAAACCAAAATGAAGCTAAAAATGTCCTTTCAACTTCATTTTGGTTTCAGAAACAAGATAGAATTTTGAAAAATTAAATGGGTGCTAATAACTAGGTGCCAACTTCATAAAGCTGAAATTCAAATATAATTCATAATTTTAATGAAATTCTTCGAAAGAATTCAATTATTTTCAAAAATGTTCATAAAATTCTTCATAAGAATTCAATTATTTTTGTAAATAATAAAAAAACATTTGCAAGAATTTAATTAATTTGATAAATAATAAAATTTTTGTCATACATTTAATTATTTTGAGAAATTCTAATAAAATAATAATAATAATAATTTTTCGTAAGAATTCAATTATTTTCAAAAAATAAAATTCTTGACAAGAATCCAATTATCTTTCTAAATAACAAATAAAATCGAAAGAATTTAATTATTTTCAAAAATTGAAATACAATTCAACGTAAAAATTCAATTATTTTTAAAATAATAAAATTATTCTCAAAAATTAAATTATTTTGATGAGAATTGTATTAAAAGTTTAAGGAAGAATTCAATTGTTTTTACAAAATTTCAATAAAATTCTTTGGATAAATTCAATTATTTTCATGAATAATAAATTTTTTAGAAAAAATTCAATTACTTTTTGAGAAATTTTAATAAAATTCTTCGAAAGAATTCAATTAGTATCAAAACTGTTAATAAAAAAATTAAATTCGTCACAAGATTTCAATTATTTTTAAATAAAAAAATCTTTCTCAGGAATTCAATTATTTTAAAAAGAAATTAATTATATTCGCTGCAAGTTTTCAATTATTTTCATAAATAATAAAATTTTTCTCAGGAATTCAATTATTTTAAAAAATTTTAATCATATTCATTGCAAAATTTCAATTATTTTCAAAAATTGTAATACAGTTCTTAGGAATTCAATTATTTAAAAAAATTTTAAATCAAATTCGTTCAAAGATTTCAATTATTTGTATAAATAATGAATAACGTTTGCAAGAATTTAATTAATTTCATAAATAATACAATTTTTATCAGAAATTTAATTATTTTGAGATTTCCTAATAAATATTATTAATAATTCTTCATAAGAATTCAATTATTAAAAAAAAAAAAATGTAATAACATTCTAGACAAAAATACAATTATCTTTCTAAATAACAAAATTTATCGCAGGAATTTTATTATTTTCAAAAATTGAAATACAATTCAACGCAAGAATTCAATTATTTTTAAAATAATGAAATTATTCTCAAAAATTCAATTATTTTGAAAAGAATAATTGTAATCAATGTTTTAGGAAAAATTCCATTTTTTTTCAAAATTTCATTAAAATTCTTCGGATAAATTCAATTATTTTCATAACTAATAAATTTTTTAGAAAAAATTTAATTATTTTGAGAAATTTTAATAAAATCCTCTCAGGATTTCAATTATCAAGAAAATTTCCAGCAAAATTCTTTGTAAGAATTCAATAATTTTTATGAACAATAAAAATCGTTGCAAGAATTCAATTACATTCATAAATGGCAAAATTTTTTTCTGAAATTCAATTATTTCGAGAAATTCTAATAAAACTCTTCGTAAAAATTCAATTATTTAAAAAAAAAATCTAATCAAATTCTTGACCTGAATTCAATTATCTTTAAAAATAACAAGATTCATCGCAGGAATTTAATTATTTTTAAAAATTAAAATACAATTCTAAGCTAGAATTAAATTACTTTTAAAAAATAAAATTGTTCTCAAAAATCAATTATTTTGAAGAATTTTAATAAAAGTCTTAGGAAAAATTCAATTATTTTCACAAATAATAAAATTTTTTACGGGAATTCAATTATTTTTTAAAAATGTTATTAAAATTCTTCGGATAAACTCAATTATTTTCATAAATAATAAATTTTTTTGTAGAAATTCAATTATTTTAAGAAATTTCAATAAAACTCCTCGTAAGAATTCAATTATTTTTAAAAAATATAATCAAATTCTATACAAGAATTCAATTATTGTTCAAAATAAAAAAATTCTTAGAATAAATTCAATTATTTTCATAAATAATAAATTTTTCATGAAAAATTCAATTATTTTGAGAAATTTTAATGAAACTCTTCATAAGAATTCAATTATTTTAAAAAAATAATCAAATTCTTGATAAGAATTCAATTATTTTTAATGCAAATTCAATTAAATTCCTTGCAAGAATTTCAATTATTTTTATTAATAATAAAATCATTCTCAGCTATTCAATTATTTTTAAAAAATTGAATTAAATTCGTTGCAAGATTTCAATTATCAAAAACGTAATCAAATTCTTGCCAAAAATTCAGTTATTTTCAATACAAATTCAATTAAATTCCTTGCGAGAATTTCAATTATTTTTATAGATAATATAATCTTTCTCAGCTATTCAATTATTTTTGAAAAATTTAATTAAATTCGTTGCAAGATTTAAATTATCAAAAACGTAATAAAATTCTTGCCAAAAATTCAATTATTTTTGATAATTTTAATTAAATTCGTTCAAAGATTTCAATTATTTATTTATTTTCATTAATAATGAAATTCTTCTCTGGAATTCAATTATTTTTAAAAACTTCGGAGAAAATGATTCGAAGAGATTGTTAACTTCTTCCACCTTTAGTTTAATAAAATTCGTTGCAAGAATGAAATCTGAATTTTTTTTTTTAGACGTCAAATTTAATTTTTTGATATCTTTATTTTTACTTTTTTTAGATTCTAAATTTTTCAGATTCTACTTATTGCTAAATTTGTAAAATTAATTATCTAGTTTGAAGCCTGAATAAGAGTCGTACCTGTGGTATGCGAATTGTTTCCACTTTGAAGGCCAATTGTTGGAAGTTCCTGCCTGCTTTCCATAACCTTCGTTCCAGTCTTCGCCAATTTTTTGCGGCCAAGGGCCAGTCTCCGCCTTCGAGTGCCACATTCTGTCGTTGGTCCTTCCCGACCAAGGGCTACTTGGAGAATCCTCATAGGACTTCAAGTCATAAGGCCTCCAAGTGGACTGATCGACGGGCACTTCCCATCCTCTCACGCTTTGTGCCTTTGGAGAAATGCTCTTTCTGCAAAAATTAGTTCCAAATTCAAAAAATTTTCAAAATTGTTGCATCGCAACAATTTCGTTTTTTATCTCAATTTTGATATCCTCAGAAAAACTTTGTTAACAATCTAACCAACAGTCTAATCTAGTTAACAGTCTAATTAACAATTTAGTAAAAGAAGTTTAAAATTCTTACCCATGCCAGGATTTGCCTCCCGATTCCGCATTATTACTGGTCCAAGATGGTCTCGCATCATCATCAGCTGAAAGATTCTCTGAACTTCTCACTTTACTCATCCAGTCGTCGTCTCCCGTGAGTTTCACAGGCCAAACGGAATCCTTTCCCTTGTTGTTGTTGTCATTGCTCTTGAGTTCCGAGGACGTTCTTTCCTTATACTTTAATCCCTTAAAATCCTTTGGAGAATTCTTGAATTCCTCCGAGAGAAGTTTGTTCTGCTTATCGAGACCCAGTTTCCTCACCAGATCCGCATTCGGATTGTAGGATTTGCCATTTTGATCCTTTGGCCAGGGTTTTGCGTCCGGCAATTTAAATGGCCACGTGGCAGGATCCGACGTCAGGCTATTCCACGACTTCATTGTAATTTTGGGAATTATATTCTTTTCGTTGGGATTCTGCTTTGGTGGGCTCATTTTCTCCGAACGATTTTTCGCCCTGTCCCAAGCGAAACTCTGCTCTTGATTCGGACGATTTTGGGTTGATTTCTCCGACCAGGGTGGAACCTAAAGGATAAAAGATAAAGACGTTCTTTAGTATTTTGTTTGCTAAATATTTTCCGCTACTTTTTAAAAATTAATTTTCGAGTGCGAAGTTTGGTTTAGCAGAATTTTACCAACCTGAAGAGATTTGTCCTCAGGCCACGAGTCAGACGCGACTTTCCAAAGTTGCGGATGATGCCGTTGGTGCCAGGACTTCTCCAAGGAATTCATATCATCCTCGTCGTTGTCGTCCATTCGCGACCAGTAATCTTGTATCAATGGTTTTCTCCAGGGAAGAGTTTCTCGCAACCAAGGTTTTGGGTCACGAGGATTTTTGTAGTACCAAGGAACGTTTTTCATTTGTACAAGCCGAAAGTCTAGCTTTGGTGGTTTTCTGTAGCCAAACGGGGAGTTTTGCCAACTCTTAGAAGCGGCGAATTCCCTGTCAGATGGTCTAAATTCTTGATTTCTTGCGAAACCACCAGCGTTCAGTTCAAAATCGTTCTGCAAATCGTTTTGGAATTTGTCCAAAGAAAAGTCCCTTGCCAGTGGATTATTGTATTGTGGATATTTCCAGTGCTTGAAGTGAATGTACTCCGAGGGATCGTAGTCTCGCATTCGCATTGTTTCTGCAAAGATAGTTCGAAGGGTGTCTTAAGCTCTTAGAGAAATCCTTAGTATTTAGGAAAAATATTCTTAGTTTTCGGTTCGTAAGGAATCTGCTAATGCAAAAACCAAAGTCGCCAATGCCCTAAGGAAAGTCGTATTAAGGGACTTTTGACTTTGGGCGAATGCGAAAGAATTTTGGTCTACTTAGGCAGAGGGTTTTTATTAACCATCTGTTGATGCTAACGATTTTTGATGATTGCAAAAATCGTTAGTATCATCAGAGGCTTTAGGCATTAGTAGATTAGGTCTAGAGTTTAACTTATGAACCCTCTGCTGATGCTAACGATTTTTGACCAGAATAACCATTTTTTAGCATCAGCAGATGCTTTAATCATTGGCAGATTAGGTCTGAAGTTTAAACCTCTGCTGATGCTATGGATTTTTGACGATTACAAAAATCATTAGCATCAGCAGAGGGTTTAAGCTTTAGCAGAGATCAGGTCTGAAGTTTAACTTATCAATCCTTTGCTGATGCTAAAGATTTTTAACGATTGCAAAAATTATTAGCATAAGCAGAGGCTTCAAGCATTAGCAGATTAGGCCTAGACTTTAACTTATCAATCCTCTGCTAATGCTAAAGATTTTCGACAATAGCGAAAATCGTCAAAGGACTATAGTTACCTTATGAGGTCATAGACTTCTAAATTAGCATCAGCAGTGGGTTGAAGTAAAAGAAAAGTTAAAGTAAAGAAAATTTTAAGTAAAAGTAAAGAAAGTTACCGTCATCGAAAGAGGAGTCCCGATGTCCAGGCGGCACCTGATGGGTATTAACTTTCCCAAAGTGCAAAAGTCTCGGTTGGGAGTACTCCCTAGCACTTTTCAACATCAGAGCCTGTCGCTGATCGTTGAGTGTCTTTAAATTCTCCCGTTGCTTCTCGTCAATAAGCTGATGTCCAGGAAGACGAGGACGATTTTTCGAATATCGAAGCTTCGACGACGGATTGTCGTCGATTTGCTCCTGCCAAAGAGGCGAATTGTAATTTTCAGCAACGAGACGCCAAGGAATGGAAGTTGTAAACCATGGCGACTCGGTTGTTGGTACGGAGGACGTCATTATCGGCAGAGCTTGTGTCGTTGCCTTGTGATGCGGTTTCTTCTTTTTCTTTTTCTTCTTCGGCTTCTTGAAGGTCCTCAGTGGATCGTCCATTTTTGGTGTTGTGGATATCGAATCGAAGTACGACGTCGGCAGTAGGTTTCTCTTCCGCGCCAGGAGGGCCCGACGGGAACCTTCCCGACCATCGTCCAGGTGCACTGAAACATTTAATTTTCTTTCAGTTCATTAAGATTTGTTGGTAATTAATTAGTTCGTTGGGAACCATTAATTTATTGGTTCGTTAGGGTCCTTTAATTTATTAGTTCATCAGTTCGTTAGGAATCACTAATTTATTAGTTCGTTAGGGTCCTTTAATTTATTAGTGAATTAGGATTCATCAGTTCGTTAGGATCCACTAATTTATTAGTTTGTTAGGATCCTTTAATTTGTTAGTGAATTAGGATTCATTAGTTCGTTAGGATTTATCAGTTTGTTAGGATTCATCAGTCTGTTAGGATTCATAAGTTCGTTAGGATTCATCAGTTTGTTAGGATACATTAATTTATTAGTTCGTTAGTGTCCATTAATTTATTAGTGCCTTAGGATTCCAGTGCATTATAATTCTAGTTCGTTAGGATTCGTTAGTTCGTTAGGATTCGTCAGTTCAGTTCGTTAGGACCCACTACATCATTATCATTAATTATCAAATTCACTAATTGAAAACTGATATTCCTTTCAGTTTCCACTTTCATCTTCTTCTTCTTCTTATTTTAAATGAAGATCTTCTTCTTCTTCTTCTTCTTTTTTTTTGGTACAATGTGAGAAAAGTTTGGGCATAAAGAAAGTTTAGCGAGAAGCTCGTTATTTACTGTTAACGATGCGAATCGTACACCTCTGGTTTTCTGTGCCAACGTGAATTTTATGTTACTGTAAGTCGATACCTAATATAAAAGCAAGCCTCGATGAACTTAACGAGATTCATTAATCAAGAATTTCGACTGGCGCGTTATTAAGGCGCCATTGTAGGAGCAATAGAGCTGAAATCAGTTTCCGCAAACAGGGCATTCCGGGCCACTGGATCTCATGAAAATGGCATCGCTTCTACGCAAAACGAATGCCAACGGCCAACCAACAAAACTCGAACGTATTATTGACTTATTCTAATAATTTTTCGCGCACGGTTCGACGAAAGTTGTAGCATTCGAATAATGGATTTAAAAAATGGGTTTAAAAATGGATTTTAAAAATGCTCTCAATATGCTAGTTGAAATTAAAATATTAGTGACTCGAAAGCAATTGTTTTCGATCTACAATTGGAATCAAAAATCGAATCAAAAATGGAAAACAAAATCGAAAACATCATTTGTTTTCTATCGAAAACAAATGATGTTTTCGATTTTGTTTTCCATTTTTGATATAATGATGATAAATACAAAATGATGCTGCAGATGAAATGAGGAATGCAGCAAAGAAAGAGTTCAAAATGTTGGATAAAAGTAATAAAAGAAGGAGGACGAGAAAGTCAGTAATTGAATCATTTATAAGCACCAATTTGGAGAAATCTTCTATGTACAGAAGTCACTCTTCTTTGTAGCTTTCACGTTCCTTTTAAATGAAGGTTTAATTGAGCGATTGTCAAGTTTCTGTTGAAATTGATACTACATAACGTTTCATGCGAGCCCTTTTAGTGGAGGAACTCTGAGACTAAATTACAATCTTGAGAAATGTTTTCTCGGATTCTTTGAGAGCTTTTCAAAGCTTTCTCTCGATCTTTCTAATTTAAAGAGCTTCCCACTTAGAAATGCTTTAATTACACATCGAATTTTAATTATGAGAATGATACTCTCATCTTTAGTTTTCGCGTTTTGTCAAAACTATTTAACATTCGGATTTTAGTGGAACAATTCAAAAATACTGTTCGCTATCAAAATAATTCAAAAATACTGTTTGATATCGAAACAATTCAACAACTATTCACTAGGTCTAGATCAAAACAATTCAAAGTAATGTTTGCTACCAAAACAATTCGAAAAACTGTTTGCTATCAAAACAATTCAAAAATATTGTTTGCTACCAAAACAATTCGAAAAACTTTTCGCTATCAAAATAAAAAAATACTATTTGACATCAAAACAATTCAAAAATACTGTTTGCTATCAAAACAATTCGAAAATAATGTTTGCTAACGAAACAATTCAAAAATTAATATTGTTTGCTATCAAAACAATTCAAAAATACTATTAGCTTTCGGAACAATTCAAAAATACGGTTTGCTATCAAAACAAAAATTTCCCTAACCGAAAAGAATTTATTTTAATACAAATTTTTTTGGGAACAAAAGCACAGACTTTAATGGCAGAATTGTAAGGAATTTGTAAATTGTAATTTTCCTTGTTTTGATGGATCCGAGGATGGCTCGTAATGGAAAGAGTAAAAAGGGAGGGAGCACAATGAAAAAGGTTGAATCTGGGTAGGAGCTAATTTACATTCTCTTAGAGAGGAGATGAAATGACTTTTTATCAGGAACTTCATTTTTATGATAAACAACTCTGCATTATAAGTCGATATTATGAATGTTTATGAGGCGACTGTGTAGTTTATACATCAGGACGTAAATAAAATTCCACATGATTGGCACTTACTCAGAAGTTGATGAACTCTCTCCCATCGTTCAGGATTTTCTGCCAACTTTGCCAGCATCCTTAACACATTCACTGTCAGCGCCTCATCTTCCAACTGGAAAAGAATTTTTTTTTCAATCTTCATTAATAATAATCTCATCTTGAGTCTCGTGTATAATAATCTATAAAACATAATTTCAATTCTTCCTAGGAAATATATAGTAAAATACCTAGTGATTAATACTACTACTAGTAGTAGTAATTCTACTAATGATAATACTACTACAAGCAGTAATTATATCAATGTTTATTAATACTAATGATAGTGATACTAACATTAGTAATATAACAATAGCAATACTACTACTAGCAGTGATAGTACCAATAATAATAATAATACTAGCAGTGATACTACCAATAGTAATACTACTACTAGTAGTGATACTGACAATAGTAATACTACCACTGCTAGTATAACTATTAGCAATACTACTACTAGCAGTGATAGTACCAATAATAATACTAGCAGTGATACTACCAATAGTAATACTACTACTAGTAGTGATACTGACAATAGTAATACTACCACTGCTAGTATAACTATTAGCATTACTACTACTACTGTTCAGTAGTAATTAGTAGTTTTTCTACTAGTATTATTGCTATTAGTATTACTACTACTAATATTCAGTAGTAATTAGTAGTAGTAATTAGTAGTTTAGTGGTATTTAGTAATACTACTACCATTAGTAGTAATAGCGCTAATAATAATACTACTAGTAGTAGTAAACCTAATGATAGTAGTAATTCTACTACTACTAGTAAACCTAGTGATAGTAGTAATTCCATTACTAGTAGTAAACCTAATGATAGTACATAGTAGTAATATCACTACTAGTAGTGAAACTACTGATAGTAATAAAATTGTATTCCAATCGCGAATCATTCGCTTGTTTATTAGCTCAAACAAATTTGAATGAACACGCAATTTTATTATCTAAATAATCGCAATTCATTTCGCCTGACAATTTTTATCCAAACGCTTTTTAAGGGATTTTTGGTGGAAAAAAATGCTGACAGCGCTGCCAGTAAATGGAGCGATAACTCGAACGATTAGGAACGTTGAACGCTTCAATGCCCTGCCTTTCCCGATTCTAATCTATGTAACCCCAAGATTAATTGCATTCCTTTCAGTAGCAGTTTATCAAACCATTTAGTGATTTGCGAATTGTACGAATTCTACACTTTCGAAGATGTATATATATATATATATATATTTCTAAGGAATTAGATTTTTAATAACTGTTTAATTTTTTATTAAATAAAATAATCAATAAATAACTTAATAAATAATTTAATAACTAATGAAAAAAATTAAATAGTAAAAAAAAGGGAGAAAATGATTTTTAAAACGACTTTCTTTATTCTAAGAGAGAATTTTGACATTTTACTTGAATCATTTTGGAAAAAAAAATTTAATGTACTTCAATTATTTAAAAAAAGGAATTTTTGGAAATTTCAATTATTTGTTTATGAAAAATTCAGTTCTATGAAGTTGAAATATTATATAAGAAGAGAATTTTAGAAAATTTCAATTATTTGTTTATAAAAATTCAATTTCCTTTAAAAGAATGTTAATTACGTGTTGAAAAAATTCAATTATCTTTAGAACATTCAATTATCTTTGTAGAAAATTGAATTTTTTTTTAAATTTAATTATCTTTGTAGAAAATAAAAATTGAAATTATTCCTTTTGAAAATTCAATTACCTTTAAAAAAAATTCAAATAATTTTCAGAAAATTTCAATTATTCCATGGAAAATTCAATTATCTTTAGAAAATGGAATTTATTTTTAGAAAATGTCAATTTTCTCTTAGGAAATTCAATTATCTTTAGAGAAATCAATTATCTTCGCAGAAAATTGAAATTAATTCTTTAAAAAATTCAATTCCTTGTTTAAAAATTTAAATAACTTGTTTCAAAAATTCAATTCATTTCAGAAAATTTCAATTATTCTATAGAAAATTCAATTATCCTTAGAAAATGGAATTATTTTTTAGCAAATGTCAATTATTTCTTGAAAATTTAATTATCTTCGTAAAAATCAATTATCTTTGTAGAAAATTAAAATTATTTCTTTAGAAAATTCAATTCCTTGTTTAAAAATTCAATTATCTTTAAAAAATAAAAGTGAAATATTCTTAAACACCTAATTTTTTCGAATTTTAAATAAAAATTAGTTATCATTGCAAAGTTTCTTGGATTATTTTCAAAAAAATTTTAGTAAAACTCTTTAAAAATTCAGTTAATTTATTGGCAAATTTTTTTAAATTTCAATTACTTTTTTTAGTTTTTTTAAAATTTGTAGAAAAAATTAATTATTATTTAAAAAATTCAATTATTTTTAGAAAAATTAACAGTTACTTGTTTAAAAAATGAAATTAATTTTAGAAAATTTCAATTATTCTTTGGAAAATTCAATTATCTTTAAAAAAATCAATTATCTTCAGATAATTTCAATTATTTCTTTAGAAAATTCAATTATTTTTAGAAAAATCAATTATCCTCAGAAGATTTCAATTATTTCTTTAGAAAATTCAATTATCCTTAGAAAAATCAATTATCTTCAGAAAATTTCAATTATTCTTTAGAAAATTCAATTATTTTTATAAAAATTAATTATTTTCATGAAATTGAAATTATTTCTTTAAAAAATTCAATTATCCTTAGAAAAATCAATTATCTTCAGAAAATTTCAATTATTTCCTTAGAAAATTCAATTATTTTTATAAAAATTAATTATTTTCAGGAAATTGAAATTATTTCTTTAAAAAATTTAATTATCCATAGAAAAATCAATTATTTTAAGAAAAGTTCAATTATTTCTTTAAAAAATTCAATTACTGGTATAAAAGAATTCCATTTTCTTAAAAAAATATATAAAATTAGAGTCAATTATTAAAAATCGCAATTATCAAATTTTCATACTATGTTATAAATTTTTTATTTCTAAATTCAGCCCGAGGCTTGACGAAAATTATTTGCACCAAAAAAAAAATAGATGCTTTGAAAATGCGAGATGAATTGTAATTATAAATGAGAGTAAGAAGTTTCAAAACTTTGTGCCTCCAAAGGTAAAAAGCAAAAAATTACATTATTTTCTTGTCGGAGGGAATTATATTAAAAAACAAAAAAAAAAATAAAAATAAAAAAAAATAAAAAATTGTAACGAGATACGCGTAAAGAGTAAGTTTAATCACTATCCAGTATATAGGGGAGTGTAATGCATCACCTGTGTCTTGTGTGTAAAATCTTCAATTAGTCGAGAAATTGCGTTCTTTGTGTTCTTCATTTTCCAACAGCGGTGTAACGAGGTGCGGAAATGAGAACCCGTTTCTCTTCTCTTTTCAATTTTTTCGGCTCCGCGAGAACCGTCGCGTCGACGCAAACATACGACCGGCTTGACATCGAAATGAAAAATTATTTGGACAGCTTCCAAATAACTTTTCAGGGTCGATGTTATCGCAAAAGGCACACACACACACCCACACTCACGAACAAATGACATTCAAAAAGAATATAAATTCAATTTGCAAATAATTACATTTACCAAATAATTACAATACACTGAGACAAAAAAAAATTATTTTATTCAATTAATTCAAAATTATTTGAAAAATATTTTTATTTGATTCGAATAATTTTTATTTTGATCTAATAAATATTTATTTGCTTCAAATGACTTGAATTAATTGAATCAGATTTATTTGAATCAAATATATTATTCAATAGAAACAAATAAAAAATATTTGGATAAAAAGTTATTTTATTGATGCAAATAAATATTTATTTAATTTAAAAACCAATTGTCAAGTAATTTTCATAATTAAAGCAATATTTATTGGTTCCAATTGTTTATTTGACTGAAATAATTCGTATTTGATACAAATAACTATTTATTTTTTAGAAGTGAAAAGTGAATGAATAAAAAATTCTATAATTGAAAATATTTATGTCCAGTAAATATTTACTTAGCTCAAATAAATATTTAATGGATAATAAACAATTGTATCATTTAATTGAGTCAAATAATTTTTAATTGCGTCAAATAATTTTTATTCGATTCAAATAATTTTTTTTGTTCAGTGTAATGAGACACATAATAAAAATTAAGTACACATAAGGAAAAATGGAAATTTGTAAATATAAAAATTACCGTATCATTATCTGCCTGAATTTCCTTTTGTGTCCTCAATTCCTTTTTTACAGTTGGTAACCTTTTTCTCTTCTTTTCCAAAAGTTCCTCAACCTGTCGTTTTATTTAGTTTTAAAATTAATTTCTTTAACGTACAAAATACATTTTTTTCTATCACACAAATTTTTTAAAAATCGTTTATTTGAACGTTTAAAACTTTAGGAACATGTCGAGAGTTAATAAAAGGTAAAACGATACAAATTCTATCACAGTTTTTTCAATATTTTTCAGAAGTGAAAAGAGAATAAATAAAAAATCCACAGTTTTTTTAAAAGTAACAAATTGATGCTAAAAATTTTGGATCAATTTTTTTTATCCACATTTTTGGTATCAGTTCGTTGCAATTTGATACATTTAAGTTAACAGTGTTTTGAAAATTATTTCAGACTTCGCACTCGATAATTAATTTTAAGAAAGTAGCAAAAAGTAGCTTTCAAACAAAACAAAAATTTTTTCCAATAATTGAATTCTTGCAAACGATTTTATTAGAATTTTTTAGAATAATTGAATTCTTGTGATAAATATTTGTCATTTATGAGAATAATTGAATTTTGCAAAGAATTTTTTTTATTAAAATGCCTCAAAATAATTGAATTTTCGGGAATAATTTTGTTATTTATCTTTATTAGTTGAATTCTTTCGAAGAATTATTTATGTAAATAATTAAATTCTTAGGAAAAATTTTATTGAAATCTAAAAAAAATTTGTAATTATTGAAATAATTGAATTTTTGCGAAGAATTTTATCAAAATTTTTTAAATAATTGAATTCTTTTAAAGAATTTTAATAAAAATTTTCAGAATATTTGCGTTTTTTGAAGTATTTATTTATTAAATTTGAATTAAAAATAATAGAAATTCTACGTTCAGTGTCATTATTTATAAAAATAATTGATTGTGAAGAATTTTTAAAAATTTCTCAATTAATTGAATTTCAATGAAAAACTTAATTATTTTTAAAAATAATTGAATTCTTGAAAGGAATTTTTATTAAATTCCTGAAAATAATTTAATTTCTGGGAAGAATTTTGTTATTTAGCAAGATAATTGAATTTTTTTGACAAATTTTATTAAAATTTTTAGGAATAATAAATTTTGTCGAATTCATGTAAAAATGTAAATAAAAAAAATTGAATTCTTGTGATTAATATTGTTATTTATTAAAATAATTGAATTTTGAAAAAAATTTTATTAAGGGCATTTGAACCTTGATGACGTCACCCATGCTTTGCACAACGTGTAACGTCATCAAGGTTCAAATGCCCTTAAAATGCCTCAAAATTATTGAATTTTCAGGAATAATTTTGTTATTTGTCTTTAATAATTGAATTCTTTCGAAAGAATTATTTATGTAAATAATTGAATTCTTCCAAAGAATTTTAATAAAATTTTTCTAAATATTTGCGTTTATGAAAGAATTCATTTAAATTGGAATTAAAAATAATAATCTACTGTCAGTGTCATTATTTATGAAAATAATTAAATTCTTGTAAAGTATTTTTTAAAAATTTCTTAATTAATTGAATTTCAATGGAAAATTTTATTATTTATGAAAATAATTGAATTCTTACAAAGAATTTTTATTGAATGTCTGAAAATAATTGAATTTAATTTTTTTAACGAATTTTATTAAAATTTATAAGAATAATTGAATTTTGTCGAGTTCATTTTAAAGTGTTATTAAAATAATTGAATTCTTGCGATGTATTTTATTGAAATTTTCTAAATAATTGAATTCCAAAGAAAAATTTTATTATTTTTGAGAATAATTAAAATCCTGCCAACAATTTTCGGATTTATGAAAATAATTGAATAGTTGCTAAGACTTTTATTAAAATTTTCGAAAATAATTGAATTTCTGAGAAGAATTTTATTATTTATAAAAATAATTGAATTATCGCGAAAAATTTTATTAAAATGTTTAAAAAAAAATTGATTTTCTGGCAAAAATTTTGTTATTTTTGAAAATAATTGAATTCTTCATAAGAATTTTATAAACATTGTTTTAAATAATTAATTTTTTTGAAATATAATGAATATTATGAACATTTTATTTTAAATAATTGAATTTTTTTGTGGAAAACTTTATTTATGAAAATAATTGAATTTTTTGATTAATTTTTTTAAAATAGTATTAAAAATAATTGAAATTCTTCGATGAGTTTTATTATTTATGAAAATAATTGAATTCTTGTGAAGAATTTTATCAAAAAAATTTTTTTTTTAATTGAATTTCCATGAAAAATGTTATTATTAGTGAAAGTAATTAAATTATTGTGAAGAATTGTATAAAAATTTTGTTAAATAATTGATTTTTTCGACTTTTTTTTAAAAAATGCTTTTCTAAATGAATTGAATTCCAGTGGAAATTTGATTATTTATCAAAATAATTGAATTTTGGATGAATTTTATCAATTTTTGTTTCAAATAATTAAATTCTTTTGCGAAATTTTATGAAAATAGTAGATATTGGAAATAATTGAATTTTGAATATTTTTTAAAAGTAGGTAATTGAATTTCGAATATTTTTTTAAAATAATTGAATTTCGAATATTTTTTTAAAATAATTGAATTTCGAATATTTTTTGAAAGTAATTGAATTTCGAATATTTTTTGAAAATAATTGAATTTCGAATATTTTTTGAATGTAATTGAATTTCGAATATTTTTTGAAAATAATTGAATCATTTTAAACAATTTGATTATAATTTTTGAGAATAGTTTTTTGATTTCTAGTATTTGCGAATTTAAAGTAAATTCTAAAAGAAACTAGAATAATAGCTTTTAGTGGCTGAAATCTAAAAAAAGTTCCTAAATAGTAGCATAACGTAAAAAAAGTGCGAAGCCTGTTATTTTTCTTTAAATAACAATTACTATAAATTTTTTTTTACTTTTCTGAAATGATTAAGTAGTTATTTTTTTCTATTGAAAATAATTAATAAATTTTGTTACGAAAACAATTAATGTTCATGATAAACGGAATAAAATATCAAGAATAAACTTTTTGATCTTTGATCTATATTTATAATTTAATTTCAAAGGAAAATGAATTGAAGTATTTGAATTGGAGAGAAATTCAATGGTACGTTTTTCTTTTTGTTTTTTTTCTTTCTTTCTTTTTTTTATGGAGTCAGCATATTGTTTTTCATCACCTCCTTGTCCTTTTTCTTTTTCTCGATATCGTCGTCGTCAATATCAGCTTCGTTCGAGGTCTCGTTTTCATCTGAGCCATCCTCGACGCTCTTTTCTTTAGAATCGAAATTCTTCGCTGTGATCAACTTCTCGTCGAAGCTCTTACTATCATAAAAGGACGTATTGGATTTTTTTGTGTCGTCGTGAGACATTGCCTCATGGGACTCAGCCGCAGCTTTCAGTTCATCTTCGTACTCGTCGTCCTCCTCCTGGATGGGCAAAGAGAAAAATTTCATTTTATTTTTTTTCCAACCAGTTTTTCTTATCACATTATCGGGGATTTATTAATTTTTTCATTTATCCATATCTCTTCTCTTTTTCCTCCATCTCCATTAATGTTTTTAAAAGTTTTACAAATATTCTTTTCATCAAAAAAAAAGTCTTAAAAAAAGTCTTGTAAAAGTTTTACAAATTTTCCTTTCATCAAAAAAAAAAAAGTCTTGCTATAAATTTTACTCGAGTTTTCGATTGAAAACATAAATAAATAAAAAAAATATATATGGAAAGAATTATAAATTGCATTTTGCCAGAAAAATTTAATTTTTTCTTTCCCTGACTTTTCTCTGATTTACAGACAGAATTTTCACTTTTTCCCTAAAAAGAATATTTTGATTTACTATAAAAAATTAATCGATACTCAAAAATATCAAATTTTTTTCAATTCTAACTTTTTTGAAATTCAACAACTTTTAAGAATATTATTTATTATTATTATTATATAAAACATGAAGAAATTGATCACTCTGAGTCTTCGACTCGAAGTAATCGATTTCTTCAAGTTTTGTAATAATTAAAAATGCCCGAGTGATAAAAACAATATTTTATATTATAAGAATTTTTTTACTTTGACTTTTTAAAAATTATTCTCATCATTTCAATTAAATTATTATTTTCTAGAATTTTTAACTAAACTTCTTTTTTAAATAAATATTTAATAAATAATTTTCATAATTTTTGTCAAAGCTCTTATCGAATTTTCAAATCCATTTGTTAGCAATATTCAATTTTACGAAAAATAATAAAAACTTCAAATAATAATTCCAAAAAAAAATTCAATTAAACCTTTAGAAAAAAATTAATTTTTCAGAATTGTTAGTTAAAATTATCAAAAATTCAGATTTTCAAAGATTTTGAATTTCAAATCTTTTTAAAATTCAATTATTTCTAGTTATTCACGCGATAATTCTTTTGATATTTAATTTTCATTTAAAATTTGAACTAAAATCTATTTTTAAATCAATTTTTATTAGAAATTTCTACGACAATTGAATTATTTAAATAAAAGAAATAAATAATTTTATAAATAATTGAATTTTTTTTTAAATGAAATTATTTCGTCGAGTTTTAATCAAATTTTTAATAAACATTACATTTTTCTAGTTATTTATTTAAAATTTATTGTATTAAAAATAATTGAAATTCTGAAGTGAATTTCATTACATTCTTTTAAAAATAATTGAATTCCTGAGAAGAATTTTAATATTTATAAATATAATTGAATTTTTGCGTAAAGTTTTATAAAAATTGTATTAAATAATTGAAATTTTGAAAATAATAATTGAAATTTTAACAAAAATTTTATTAATATTTTTGAAAATAATTGAATTTTGCAGAAGAATTTTATTATTTATGAAAATAATTCAATCTCTGAGGAAAATTTTAATATTCATGAAAATAATTGGACTTTTGCGTAAAATTTTATAATAATTCTATTAAATAATTGAAATTTAGAAAATAATAATTGGAATTTTGACAAAAATTTTATTCATATTTTTGAAAATAATTGAATTTTTGTAAAAAATTTTTCCTATTTACAATAGGAAATAAAAGAATTTTGTAAAATAATTGAATTCTTGCAAAGAAACTTATAAAAAATTTAAAAATAATTGAAATTTTCCGAAGAAATTAAAAAAATTTTTGAAAATAATTGAATTTCGAAGTAGAATTTTATTATTTATGAAAATAATTGAATCCCTGAAAATAATTTTAATATTTATGAAGATAATTGAATTTTTGCGTAGAATTATATAAAGTTTTATTAAATAATTGAAATTTTGACAAGATTTATTAATATTTTTGAAAATAATTGAATTTTTGTGAAAATTTTTTCTATTTACAATAAGAAATTAAAAATTTTTTTTTAATAATTGAATTCTTGCGAAGATATTTTTTATAAAAGTTGAAAATAATTGAATTTCGTGAAAGTATTTTTTGATTTTTATAGATAATTGAAATTTTAACAAACATTTTTCTTAATTTTTTGAAATAATTGAAATTTTGCCAAGAATTTTAATACTTTTGAAAATAATTGAATGTTTGCGAAGGAATTTTATTAAAATAGTAAAAAAATTGATAATAATTAAATTTTATCAAATTTTTTTTAAATAATTTAATTCTTTCAATTCTCTTAATTCTTTCGAGGATTTTATTTAAATTGTAATTAAAAATAATAGAAATTTTACAACTATTGTAATTATTTATGAAAATAATTGAATTCTTGTAAAGAATTTTTATTAAATTCCTGAAAATAATTGAATTTCTGGAAAGAATTTCGTTTTTTATCAAGATTGTTGAATTTTTTCGATGAATTTGAATAAAATTTTTTAGAATAATTGAATTTTGTCGAGTTCATTTAAAAAAAAATAATTGAATTTTTGTGAAGGATTTTATTAAAGTTTTGTAAATAATTCAATTCCTGAGCAATTTTTGTATTGTTAACAAAAATAATTGAATGTTTACATAGAATTTAATCAAAATGTTTTTCAAATACTTGAATTTCTTTGGAAAATTTTATTAAAATAGATATTGAAAATCATTAAATTGCGAAATTTTTTGAAATAATTGAAATTTTTTTCCAAGAATTTAATAAAAATTTTTGAATATAATTGAATTTCTGCATAAATTTTGCTATTTGTAAAGATAATTGAAATTTTGACGAGAATTTTTTGAAAAATTTAATTTTTGCAAAGAATTTTATTAAATTTGAAAATAATTGAATTATTGTGATGATTATTGTATTATTATTATTTTTTTTTATTATTAATTGAATTAACCTCAGTTGTCGTGTCTTCTGCATTATCACTAGCTTCATTTTCCTCCAGGTCTTCCTCGCTCGTATCTTCGTTCGATGAAACTTGAATCTAGAAACAATCATTGAAACAAAACTGAAATTTTCTTTTTAACGAAAGGAATTTTTTACACTCACCGAATCCCTTTGAAGAGAGGTCGACTTTGTTTTAACGCCTTCTGTAACAGACAAAAAAATAGTATTTTTATTTCCCTTTGCTCGTATATCTATATATTATTTGTGAAAGAAAATGTGTACATCAAAGAAAACAAATTTGCATCTTATCATGCGAAATGTAAATTTATCGAAAATCTATTGAATCGAAATATTTGAAAAATTTGAAATTTAAAAAATTAAAATTAAATTAAAATTCAAAATTGACAATTTTTAACAATAAATGAATTTTGTCGAGGTTTCGAATTAAAATGTTTAGAAATCTGAATTTTTCATATTTTTAATTAAAAATTCTATGGAACTAATTTTCTTCAAAAAAAAATAAGTAAGATACCGTCTGACTAAAACTTGTTTTTACTGCTTAATATTTTGGAAAAATACAAAAAATGGGAAATGAAGTCTGACTAAAATTTAATTTTACTGCTTCATTTAGAAATATATTAAAAATAGTATGTAACGACTGACCAAAACATGTCTTTACTACTTATTTTTGAAAAATACGAAAAATAGGATAAAGTCTGACTAAAATTTATTTTTACTACTTAAATAAGAAAAATAGGATATAACGTCTGACTAAAATTTATTTTTACTACTTAATTTAGAAAAATTCGAAAAATAGAATCTAAAGTCTGACTAAAATTTATTTTTACTACTTAATTTAGAAAAATAGAAAAAATCTTAAATGAAGTCTGACTAAAATTTATTTTTACTACTTAATTTAGAAAAATTCGAAAAATAGAATCTAAAGTCTGACTACAATTTATTTTTACTACTTAATCTAGAAAAATAGGAAAAATCTTAAATGAAGTCTGACTAAAATTTATTTTTACTACTTAATTTAGAAAAATAGAAAAAATCTTAAATGAAGTCTGACTAAAATTTATTTTTACTACTTAATTTAGAAAAATATTAAAAATAGTATATAACGTCTGATCAAAACATGTCTTTACTACTTAATTTAGAAAAATACGAAAAATAGAATATAAAGTCTGACTACAATTTATTTTTACTAATTAATCTATAAAAATAGAAAAAATCTTAAATGAAGTCTGACTAAACTTTATTTTTACTACTTAATTTAGAAAAATACGAAAAATAGAATATAAAGTCTGACTAAAATTTATTTTTACTACTTAATTTAGAAAAATACGAAAAATAGGATATGACTTTTTTAAATACAAAAATAAATAATTAATTGAATAATTAAGTTTCTTAAAATTAAATTACTTCGTTGAATTTCAATCAAATTTTTAAGAAAAATTGCAATTTGCAAGATATTTATTAAAAATAGCATTAAAAATAATTGAAATTCTTCGATGAATTTTATTATTTACGAAAATATAATTGAATTCATGAGAAGAATTTTAATATTTATGTATGTATTCTTGCGAAGAATTTTATCAAAATTAAAAAAAAAAAATGGAATTCTAGTAAATAATTTGATTATTTGTAAAAATTATTGAATTCATGTGAAGAAGATTTAAAATAATTTTGGTAAATAATTGATTTTTTTCGAAAAATTGTCTAATTTTTTTTTCTCTACAAATTGAAAATTGAAATTATTCAATATTCACAATGAAGGAAAAATTTTTCAATTCGTTTATCAATTTCTTTTGCAATTAATTAATTAATCAATCTCGTAACTAATTTCTTAGGACTTTTGAGAATTAAATACCATTTGTAAATTGTAAATTTTTTAATTTTATTTTTTTCCTCTCATAATCTTTTTACAACTCTTGAGAATTAAATATTACATTTTGTAAATTGTAAATTTTTCTCAATTTTTTTTTCTTCTGTAATTTTCTTACGACTTTTGAGAATTAAATTATACCATTTTTCAGATTTGCAAAATTGTGTATATACATAAATAAATATTTTCCTTTTTCCGGTATATGAATATCATATTCCCGACGCATATGAGAGATCGTTCATTATTATATGGATTTTGTGTATGTGTACATATATATATATATATATATATATATATGTCGGATGCTGCATTTATATGGGATCTTTTGCTATGAGTGACGGCAACTGGACTGGGCACGTGTTCGAGTACGTTTACAAGACACGTGATCGGTATATCAAACATATTGCACTTGCAGTCATAACCCCTTCCCTTCCCCTCCCTTTTCCAATATCAAATATGAAAAGGGAAGTTTTCCCGCACTGTCGCGGAAGGAGGAAAAAAGAGAAGACTTATTGAACCGAATATTGGCCGTAATGCATCGACGCAGTTTTCTGATATTTCAACTGCAGGCTGTATTATATCGTCCCACACTGCTCCTACTGCAGCTCCAATCTCCCATAGAGCACGACTAATATACCGGAAACTTATGACTCGAGAATCGTCGGCGAAAACTTTTCCGCGCAAGGATATCTCTCTTTTTTTATTCTCTTTTCTCTCTCTCTCTCTCTCACTCTCTTACTCTCGTATCTCTGACCTACAAAATAAAATTTGCCTTCTTCATTTTTTTTGTTCCTTCTTTTTTTTTTACTCTTTTTTTAAATCTTTTTTTCTTACTCTTTTTGGAGAGAGAAAACTTTTTCTTTCTCTCTCTCTCTCTCTCTCTCTCTCTCTCTCTCTCAATGAGGTATGGAAGGAAAAGTTATCGCAGGAGTGATTCTAGAGAGAAGAAAAGAGAGAATACGGAAATGGTTAAAACTTTTATTTTAACCTCAAAAGAATTATTTTTACCTCAATTGTAACGCGCTTGAGTGAATCGACATATCTTATTGGCCCCCGAGAATTTATAATTTGCCCTCAATTATTATCAAAACTCATTAAATTATAGTTAACTCGATAATTTATAAACTTTAAATCAATTTTCAATTTTTAAAAAAAATTTTTATATTTAAATGTTCCCCAAATGTTTCGAACGTTTAAATGACCGAAATTAAAATATCTCTTTTTTTTCTTATACCTTTAACAGGGTTGGCACAAAAATTTAATTTTGTTTTTCCCTGACTTTTCTCTAACTGATTTTAACTTTTTCCCTGACCCTAAAAAAAAAATATTCTGATTCACTCTAAAAATTATTAGATATATACTCAAAAAATGTTCATTTTTAAATAAATCCGGTGAAAAATACAATTATTCCTAAAAAGTTGATTAAAATTCGTCGAAAAAAGTTTAATAAATAAGAAAATTCTTTCTAGAAATTCAATTATTTTCAATATTTACTATTTTCATAAAATTTTCCAAAAGAATAATTGAATTATAATTTTTTTTTTTATTTTGTACAAATAACTTTTCAATTATTCTTTGCGAAAATTTGTACCTTTCACTTTTTTCAATTATTTTTCAATTATTAAATTCTTTTCCCTTATAGAATTGTTACAAGTAGGTAATGAAACTAATTGCAGAATTTCAATTATTTTTCATAAAATTTTGAATGAATTACATAAAACAGAATATGATTTTTTTTCAAAAAATAATAAAATTGCAAGAATTTAACTATTTTTAAGAGCATTAATAAAATTCTTTAAAACGATTCAATTATTTTTGAAAAAATTTAATAAAATTCTTCACAGGAATTCAATTATTTTTTCAAAAAAATTCAATAAAATTCAATTATTGTTTTAATTTTGTTCATAAATATAAAATCCATCGGAAAAATTCAATATTTTAAAACATTTTCTAAAAAATCCAGTGAAAAATGCAAAAAATTTTTGTATTAAAATTCTCCGAAAAATTAAATTATTTTGATGTATAACAAAAATTTGTCCTAGAAATTCAATTATTTTCAATTTCAACTATTTTAAATTTTAATAAAATTTTCCGAAAGAATTGAAATTTTTTTTTTATAAAATTCTTCTCGAGAATTCAATTATTTTCAATAATATAATAAAATTTTTCACGAGAATTCAATTATTTAAAGAAAATTATAAATAAAAATCTTTGCAAGAATTTAATTATTTTGATAAATAATGATACTCGTTGAAGAATTTAAATTATTTTTTTTACAATTTTATACTATATATGAATTTCTATTAGAAAAATGCAATTATTTTCAAAAAATTTTATTTTAATTTATTTAAATTTTTTTATTTTTTTATTTTTTTTTTTAATTATTTAAAAAAATTTTTGATAAAATTCTAAGCAAACATTCGATTATTTAAAATAGTATTTGCATAAATTTTATAAAAAAAAATCAATTATTTAAAAATTTTTAATAAAATTCTCCTCAAGAATTCAATTATTTTCACAATCAATAAAATTTTACAATGGCATTCAATGATTTTCATAAATAATAAAATTCATCGGAGGATTTAAATAATTTTTAATATACAATTTTAAAAAATTTCCATCGAAAAATATAATGATTCTCAAAAATTTTATACAAAATTCTTCGGAAGAATTTTGATATATAATTTTCAAAAATTGTCCTCATCGAATGATTTTCAATATCTTTTGAAAATTTTAACTTTAGTAAAATTTTAATTTTAATTTTAAATTCAATTTCAATTTCAATTTCAATTTTATTTTTATTTTCAATTTCAATTTTTATTTTCAATTTCAATTTCAATTTCAATTTCATTTTCAATTTTAATTTTAATTTTAATGTCAATTTCAATGTCAATTTCAATGTCAATTTCAATGTCAATTTCAATGTCAATTTCAATTTTAATTTTAGTTTTAATTTCGATTTCAATTTCAATTTCAATTTCAATTTTATTTTTATTTTCAATTTCAATTTCAATTTCAATTTCAATTTCAATTTCAATTTCAATTTTAATATCAATTTCAATGTCAATTTCAATTTCAATTTCAATTTTAATTTTAGTTTCAATTTCAATTTTAATTTTAATGTCAATTTCAATGTCAATTTCAATGTCAATTTCAATTTTAATTTTAGTTTTAATTTCGATTTCAATTTCAATTTCAATTTCAATTTTATTTTTATTTTCAATTTCAATTTCAATTTCAATTTCAATTTCAATTTTAATTTCAATTTTAATATCAATTTCAATGTCAATTTCAATTTCAATTTCAATTTCAATT